CATTTACTTTTGTGCGATAATGTCTCTGATATAGAGTAACATAAGCATGGGCTACTTTAATATTTTCTGGTTGGACTTTGCAAGGTGCTACTTTATTTAGAGAGAACATTTTGTTAGAAGTCATTAGTTGACAATCATAATGAGCAACCCGAAGATTATTTGCAGTATTTGCATATAATTGTTCTTTCGGATCAAATGCTGAGGTTTGATTCGAAAGTATCATTAGAGTTAAAAGACCAACCAAATAAATTTTTTGCAAATTTATTTTTTGGTGGTGAATGATAGTAGAATAATTTTTAAAAGTACTTACTTTAAGCATTTCCTCGAGAGTGGTTAGAACAGGATCTTGGTCCATTAGTTCACCTTCCTCTATTTCACTATTTGGATTTGTCATTTTGTGGATTTTTGTGAAGGGAAATCTGAGTTAGATTTCAATTTTTGTTGAGGAATTCAGCAGATTTTATATTTTGGAGAGAGAGAGAGGAGGATTTGAATGAAAGATGTGGAATTGAGCAAGAATGAAAACAACTGTATATCAGTTAGTTTTTAAAGGCTGTTTTTGCTTTTTTGCAAATCTAAGCTCTGATTGGCCGTTGTTATTCGGCGTCTTTCGGAAGTGACTCTTTTTAAGTCGTAATTCATTCGCCATTCGTTTTGTAATGTTGTGGTTTTTTTTCACGGATATAAAGTCTAACCTTTATAAAATTTATTTTTAAATCTATTTGTTAATATGTTTATTTTTGGTATTTTGTGGTTTTATTACAAACTAAATATTTATAAAAGAGAAAAGAAAAGCCTATAATAAAGAATGTTATAAAAAAGATTAGTTTTGGCCAAATAAATAATTGGTGTTTATTTTTTCTTTTTAAATTTGCCAATTATACTGGATGGAATTGTAGTTCCATAAAAGTTTGTAGGACGATTTGTCCGTTTAGGCATATAGGTATCAGCCATATTATATTTAGTTTAAAAATTTAAAGAAAGATAGAAAGTTTATAAATTTGTTTAGAAAACTTAAATTTCCGATTTGGAAATTTATTACTTCTCTTTATTTGTAAGAGAAAATTCAACAATTCTCCAGTTTGAGAATTGGAATCTTTGCTTTTTATCTCTTTTTGAGACTTTAGCAATTTTTGCGAATTTTTAGAAGGTGAGCCTCACTGGTCGCACCAATTTATTACGCTAGCAATACTATAGACGTCGGACAAAACGCTTGCTAGGAATAAAGGGTCCTTTCTACTTTCTATCTTAGAAAGTAAATCTAAAATTCGCTGAGAAATATTTTATTAAAAAAAGAAGTTAGTATGAATTTACAGCAAGTTGCCTTTTGACTCAATATCTATTTTAACGGTGAGATTAGAGATATTTTTTAGAGATTGGTTGGGGTGGTAGAAGAGAGTGGTGTTGGTGTTAGAAGAGATATTGTTGGAATGAATTCCCGTAGTTTTGAGCTTCTATTTATACTCAGATTGGGAAATCACGCCACTTTTCGTATCAAATGAGAAGTTTCTTTTAACTTCGTATTCTTTATTCGTACATTCGTATTTTACGAGAAGAAGGTTTCGTATGCTCGTATTTTACGAGAGGAATCGTTAATATTCGTATTGAATGAGAATAGTCGTTTCAATTCTCAATGCTTAAAACGTTATACGAATTATTCCAATAGCATTTCCCTTCCTTTTGCAAGGGAATAAAAACATATTTCTTTTGGTGGTGGCGGCGGCGTCACATTTTGTGAACGCAATAAAATAATTCATGTTTCTGTTTCTATTTGAAATCAGAACAAATCTACGATATGAAAATTAGAATTGATGAACCGCTACAGAAGCAGTGCGTATTGAGTATTGACTTTACAAAAGCATTCGACGCCGTGGATCGGAAGTATTTATTTCAAATGCTGCGTAAAATGAGTCTTCCTCTGCTGCTGGTTGACATGCTCGAAAACTTGTACGGAAAAACAAAAGCTATGATAGGTGTCAATGTTTTTCTCAGTAAAGAAATATCACTGGGAAGGGGTATACGACAAGGTTGTCCACTATCCGCCCTACTTTTTATTGTAGCTTTAGAGCCTCTGGAAATCTTGAGACGACATCAGTGGTATGCACACCCAATGGAACGACGAGTGATAGCTTATGCAGATGATGTTAATGTTTTTGTACATGCGAATGACATAAATAGGCTTTTCCATGAGATCGATAAATTTTGCCCACTCGGAGTTTTCCTATGGTATGGACAAGTGACTAAAATTGCAAATGCGGAAAAAATGATCAAACTATTCAATGACATGAAAAAATACTTCAATAAATTTATGAATTTTTGTGTGAAAGCCTAGATAATGACAGTTTTGTTCCTTGCTAATTTTTGTCATATTACACGACATATCTCTTTTGAGAAAAACTTTGAAGAAATTAAGTTTAACTGCTTTATGGGTTCCAGAAATTAAGTTTAACTGCTTTATGGGGCGCAGGTCGAAAAATGGAAATAGCTCTACAGTTGCTGGAACAAGCATCCAATAATGGAGGTGTTGGCTGGCCCAACATTAGATGCAAAGTTTCGACAGCAAAAATTCAAAATGCTTTGAGTACTTGGCTCTCTGGTGATGAACTAGCGAAAGAACGTATCAATAAAGCGATCCAAAAAATAAAGCGCCAATTGAAAACCTGAAAAATGAGTTGAAAAATTCGGATCTACAATTGACAATATGGGATGTAACACTGGTGATACGCGGGTCGTCACGGAATCTTATCATTGGAAGCATTACGAAAGGTAAAGAGATATACAAGTTTTTCGTCGCAACATTGCTTGATAATCAGCGTTGGGCCTCCGGAATAGAAAAAAAAGCGGCCTCAATTTTGGTATCCAGCTAACAGAAGTAGGAAAAATAACAAGCTGGTTTTGGAAACAGGTTAAATTAACGGGTTTTGAAAAAAACATGTACTACAAATTGGTCTTTAACTGTATACCCGATAAAGATGTACTATGGAATCGGGGGCTGAAAAGTTGTCCATTGTATTTTCAATGCCTATGTGAGTTTGAAAATTTTCCTCACCTTTTTGAAAAATGTCCTAAAACTTGCTCGTACCTTCGTGAATTGGGAATTTTTGGATAAGAGGATATTTTTCAATCTCCCATCTTGTCTTAAAGTGAAAGCAACTGCAATTATTCTCTACGATCCTTGGAAAAATAATGGGGATGATACAATCTAATAACAACATTGTTTTATGCCATCTTATTGATATTAATACCGTGAATTTAAAAAAAAGTCACTCGCGGTAATTTTGAGGTTTTAATGCGCGTAAAACTACCGAAATCTACTAGTTATTGAATAACGAGTGCGTATTCTTGACTACAAGTTAATCCGGTGTAGAAATCATTATAAATTGAATTGAGATACGCCCATTGACCTCAATATTGCGGTAATATCAAAATTTTATATGTTTTCAAGAGCGCGTGTGGCAGAACTTTCAGAAAATGAAAACCTGGTCTTCTTCTTTGACAGCTTTCAATCCCCAACTGGGACTACGCTCTCCTCTCATTCGCCTTCTACTCGTCCTTCTACGTTGGGTCAGATTGTTTGCGGATACTTGTCTTTGGCAATTTTCACGCGTATATTTGCTCGTGTAAATTCTTGCTTCCACTTGATTTGTTGGCTCACTTTCGTACATGTTTTTGGATGTCGGGCGAAATTTGATGACAGTATCATTGTCCCGAATGTGGAACAGCTTTTTATGTTTCCTGCATATGTCTCGTTAGCATTTATTGATATGGTTTTTCGCTTTAACCTCAGTTTTAAATACTCTTTGGTATCTTTTGCCTGGGAATGTTTTAATGTTTTTTGGCTCTGATATGTTGTTTCATGAATCCTATTCATATGAGTTCTAAGGCCGCCGGTATTCAAGCATACTTTTAGTGATTTTTTCTTGCCTAACACATTCCTGTCCTCGGGAGCTGTTAGGAGGCCCTTTTTGATATCTAATCTTCCATGGGTCCAAGTGTTGCATCCGCTTGTTCTCCCCTGCGCGCTGTGGTTTACGATTCGAGGTTGTAGTATCCAACCCGCCAATTTTGTGGTTGTTCCTCTTCTTTTTCCTCCCTCTGTCTAACTAAGGGTTGGGAGCTATCCGAGTATGGCTCTCTTTGCAGGTCTCGTCTTCCATACTCCGGACATGTCCCACCTGTTGAAGCCGTGTTTCATCTTTTTCTTGGAATTTTTAGAGTTCCTTTGTTGCTTGTAGTTGTGAAGTGCAGATTTTCCTCTGTGTCATTCTTTTTTATTAGACTTGCGAACTTTAGTGAGGTAGTGTTATGGTACGACTATTCTTTTTTTATCTAACCTATGTCGCGAATATTGGTGCCACTTAAGGGGCACCTTTACACATTTTTGATAGCCTGTGCTTTGACATTCGATTAATTATATGTTAAAACAGTTGATACAGTTCTCATTGTTCAAATAAACCAAAAAAGCTCTTTGCTTCAAATATCAGTACAATAATAGAAACTCGATTTATAAGTTTTCCTTCTCAGTATTTCTTTTGAAATGCTTCCTTTTTACATAATTTGTCTTTATGTTTTTGATTTTTTTTACATGCAAGTTAATTTAGATGCCTTCAGTTTGTTACGTTTCAAATTATTACGTGCCAATTTGTGTCTATTTGTATTTTTTGCCAATTTTGCTGCATAGCATTAGCAATTTATTAGCATATGTAGCTGCTTTAGTCGTGACTAGTGTTTGTGGGTTGTTAAGAGTTCGTGGCTGAGCTGGCAGGGCGTGAGACTCCAAATCTGGAGGTCGCATGTTCAAATCAGATATGTAGCAAAGTTTTCTAAATTTTTCCTATTTCTAATTTTTTCCTTTTTCACGTTATAAAGCTGCTTGTTTGTCGTTTTTTCGCAAGTGTTTGGGAAGCGCAGCTTCGCCTCTGTGTTTATTTTTGAAGTTGAAAAAGATGTTTTTAATCTGAAAATGCCTGTAACTAGCTGCAAATGAGTATTGTGCTTAGGAAGCCGACGACGTTTGCAACAGTAGATTTGGAGGGAGCCCGAAAGTTGATCTTCGCCCTACCTGGAAACCCAGTGTCCGCTCTGGTTACTTGTAACCTGTTTGTGATTCCTGCTATTCGTAAAATGCAAGGATACTTCAGACCTCAACAGACTGTTCTCAAAGTCAGAGTGAGTTGAAATTTATTGTTTTTGGCAGAGCCATCTACAGGAAAGGATGCTCTTGTTCCTACAGTACATAACTTGTCGCCTAGAAAATAATGGAGAAAAAGGATTAGAATTCACATTTGGTTTTGATCCTTGCATGCATAACTGTCTACAATTCCTTGCAGATAAATTAATGATTCTAAGAATCAAGACTGAAGAAAATTTTCAACAGATAGTGTTTTTTTACAATAAGAAGAAAAATGACTGGGCTGTCGGCTAATGCTTTTTTGAATTACATTTTTTTTGTAGGTGACACAAGACATCAAACTGGACCATCGTCCAGAGTTCTTCCGGGTCTCTCTGGCATGGCCGAATGGAGTATGCAATTGCAGTAGTAACAGTGGCCAGTCTCAGTCTGCCGGGGGACACCACAGCAGTGGCAGTAGGACCAAATGGAGCACAACTGCCACTACCAATGAGTTCCACCAGGAGGCACTCGAGGACAGAAATGGAGACTGCAGATCTCCTACAGGTCTGACTTTTTAACGTCTCTTTCTTTCTCCCAAAAAGAGGATAAATATTTACTGCTATCAAAATGGAGTGATGTTGTAGCAAACTTCGGACTAGTTAGATTAGAGGCGGTACTAAGTTCCGTTTAGTGAACTCGATATTGCTATCGCCGAAATTCGTGATAACGTTCAGATTAATTTCATAGCAAAAGTAGAGATATGCTGAGAAACAGAAGACCCTGCTGAGACTCGAACTGCCATTTTACATTGCAAATGAATTAGGAACTATGATAATTTTAACTGGATCTTGTAGAAATGGCAGGAATGGACTGCGTTGCTTTGCAAGTCAATAATTTATAGCTCCGTGTGGACGGTTAGTTTCTCTAAAGAGTGAATTTGAATTGGTGTTATTACGCCATTCATTCAACGCTTTTTTTGGTTCATCACAGCAGCAGCTGGACATCTAGTGTTTGTTATGTTTTAGCTGGCAGTATGGGAGCCCTGAGTGAGTGTACATGTGGGAACTGGGGTGGATATCCTCTGGCTACAGGTACAGGCAGCCAGATCAGCAGTAGACTCCTCAGTATGGTCAGCAGCAACGCTCTCCTCATGTTACCTCCATCTTCAGATGAGAAACAAGTGGTATATACTAATGAGTTAGTGGACGCTTTGGTCATTGGACGAGTTTGACCCACCACACACGACAACGTTGGGACGCACTTGAAGAGGACAAGATGACCTTGGAATCGATCACAGAATTTTGCCAGACCAAAATTAGAATATGAGCTAAAGAATTGTGTCAAAAATAACATATGTTTGAACAGGGTCTCGGTAAATCTTGTTGGCTTAAATTTTTAGTTTGAGGATGATTTGAATTTTTCATAAAAGATAGTTTACATTGTGATTTAAAATGAGTGATTTAAAATGTTTTTTTTTTCTACTGCACTAGGAATTTTGATGAGCAATATTGAAGGCGAGGAACTGATTTACTGGGACCAAAAATTGGAGCCATAATGAAGGTCCTTCATGTCATTTTGAAAATTATTCTTTCTTTGTGGAACTTTATCATCTTTCAAGAATTCATTCTATCGACTATTTAAGCTAGAATATTTGATGCTTCTTTCTTTTGTCAGAATCTCTAAACCAAACAATCATCACTGTAGCAATGCATTTTGTATACTGTAGTTACAAAGTAGTTAATTTGTAATCAGAATCCTGAAATTATATTTATGAATATCTGTAATTTAAGCAGATTAATTTATTTTTAAAATGTTCACCGCCAAACCTGTCAGCTTTTGTGCAATATATTCCATTGAATATTTTTCAGATTGATTTTTAGAGAATAGTTTAATACCAGCTAGGAGCAATCGTTTTCCACCATTACAGGCATTTTGCTTTTTAATTTTGCAAAAGAAAATTCAATTCAACTCAGTCGCATTTTTGTTTCAGTCGTATTTTTTCTTTGAATCAGTGTTTAATAAAAGAAACTCTTGCGTTAGTGTGTTGACACTTTTATTAATATACACTTTTTGTTTTAAAACTTCGGAAATCAATTAAGTCTTAAATAACGAAGTGATCGTTACTTATAAAGGTCATGAGATATAGGGAGGTTTGACTTAATATTTTTTCAGTACAGGTGATTTCCTCTTAATAACCGACTGCGCAAGTGTTTAGGTAATGAGAAACGGGTACTGTATTTTCTGCAGAGTAATGAAAATACCTATTGATCCAGTTTTCTCTAAATTGGGTAACTTTTTTAAAAATTGTCAATCGTAAACTGTTTTAGGAATTCCAAGAGCTTTAACGTGATTCTTTTTACGGAAATTAAAATATGTTCAAACATTTTAATTGTTTTTTGGCTTCACTGTTCTTTTACATTTTTTTCAACCATCCTTGTTCTTAGTTTACGTTTAGAAGTTAGTTAATCAGTACTTCGGAGATGAATTGTGTTTAGAACTGTTTAGGTTTAGTCTTGTTCCGACTCGTTAGAAAGTGACTGGAATAAATCTAGCGTATGGAAGGTTTTTCGGTCAATTTTGACTGTTTCAAAGAAAGCTTAAAATGGTTAAGTTTGTTGTTTTATTTCACGTGCAAAAGCAAGCTTCTTGTAATCGGGAACTCGATTTTTTTCCCGTTAACAACTTTTCTTACAGACTTTCAACTTGCTTCATTATTGAATCTAAAATAAATACATCCAGGACCCTTCGAATTTGGCCTAAAGGTAGTGCTGTCACTTTTCCAAGCTAAAGTGCGGGCCAGACGTTTTTGTAAACTATGTATGCAAGTTTTTTTCCTGTGAAAGTTGATTTGTGGGACTTTCGTTTATCTGCTGAAGTAATGTCGCCTTAGTTGCATTATTACGTAATTCTCTTGTGCTGTAAGCAAGTATCATGGTATTTTCAAGTGATGTTCATTGTAATTTCACGGTGACTTGAAACTTTTAATGTGTTTCATAAAAAAAAAATTTTTGGCTCGAACTGGTGTCTGCTTAAAGATGGTCTGCTTTGTTTCCGCTTCGTATGTTTTGTTCTGTTGCTATTTTCGATTTCAGATGTCTTGTCATGTTTTCCAAGAACTCTTGTTTGAAAAAAAATAGGTATTATGAAAGTGTATGGGCTTTTTTATTTTTTGAGACGCTTTTGAGTTTTTTTTTCACTTTTTGCAAAATCATTTAGTTTTTTCAGAAACTATTCTACTGATGTTCAAATAAAGGGTATAACTAGAAAGACCGCTTACTCCCTGTGTGCCTGTATACTCATCTAGACTCTTTTTGCTTGACCCTTTGTGTACAGCCTTCGAAAAGTAACCTCGAACATAAGCGGCGCCCGAAAAAGTAGTTTTTGAGTTTTGAGCAATCGGGTACTAGACTTTTTGTCCAGTAAATAATTTTGTTCTCAGAATGGCCAATTTTAGTGTTATTGGTTAATTTCACGACTGCTGACATGCTCAATTTTTTGAAAATAAAAATTTTTATCATTTAGGGAGTATTTAGGGGAAGTTCGTTTCAGGTAATAGATGTTTTTCAAATAAATTTCTTGAAACAAGATGGTTTTTTTCGTATTCGTGGTTTTCGCCCTTGTTTCCGTCGGCTCAATTTCCTTAATTAAATGCAGTTTGTGTATTTGAGACGTTTTTTGGGCTTCTTTTTAAAGTGTAGGTATTTATTGATTGAAACCGTTTTTTACCCTTGCGATAAGCAATGGTATTGCAATCGTGTAGTAGACCTTTTTTCCCCGTAAATAACTTTGTTCACAGGAATCTTTTCATCTGGACTCATTTCTTGGAAATATCTTAGCAACTAATTTATCTCTGCAGATTTATTCTGTGCTTTTTGGCTCTTTAAATTTTTGTCCTATTCGAATTTGTTATTTTTATAAGTAATTATAAGTACCAACTCGATTTGTTTAAATTTCATTTTTTTTTTCAATTTTTTTGTTTCCTTTTTTCGGCTCAGTAAGTTTTGGCTTATATTAAATCTGTGTGGTGGCCTCAAGTTAAGTCGTTCGAGGCGCTCAATTTGCAAACAGTTTGTGTGTGTTTCGAGGGTGAGGGCGACTTAAACATTTTTAAGTAGTCCTAAATTTGTTTGATTTTTTTCGGCTTTCGTTTTTTTGGCATAATATATTCAGGCTTAGGTTATATCGGCTTAGTGGCTTCATATAGTGGAGTTCGACGAGCTAAAAAGTGCTTTTTGTGTGCAGGTGATTTCAGGGTGAATGTGACTTTATAACTTTGTTTTGTTTTAATTTTTTTGGGGTTTTTTCCCTTATTTTTTTTTCGGCTTTGAAGGTTTCGGCTGTTTTTATGTCGGCTTACTGATCTCATATTGTTTCACCTGACGGGCGAGTAAAGTTTGTGTGTGTGTGTGTGTGTGTGTGTGTGTGTTGAGGGTAACGGAGAATTAATACATTTTTATAAGTCTTATCGAATTTTTCTTAGCTTTAAGGGTTTCTGCTAAGGTTTTTCGTCTTTCTTATCTCTTGTTCATTTTTCTTTCGATGCAAGTTTCTACATTGTTTTGTCTGGTCACGTTTTCTTGTTTCAAAACTTACCTGATTCCTTTTGATAGATCTAGTTTTTTTTGACACTTTCAATTTTTTGTCGGCTTAGCGGTTTTTTGGTTTTGTATCGAAAGTAGCCGGATTTTGTTTAGCAAGTTTTGGAATTGTCCGACTTTCGTTTGTCTGCTTAATTTTTGCCGGCTAAGTTGCTACATCTTAGCTTTTGCTTCTGCTGAAAACAATTTTCATTGCAATTGCAAGTTTTGTTCATTCTAGTATTTTGTCTCAGCACGTTTTTGTGAAAAGTTAAGATGAAAGATACTTGAAAGATTTTTTTTTCATCAAATCAATTTGATTTCCGAACAACTGGTGTCTGCTCAAACCTTGTCAGATCAGTTGCTATATCACAGTTTTTTCTTGTGCTGTAAGCAACGTTCATTGCAAATGCAAGTGTTGTTCATTGCAGTTTCATGTGGGACTTAAAATTTGACGATTTTTTATATAGACATGTTTTTGGATCAACTTTGGTCCGCTCAATGATTGTCGACTTCGTTGCATCTTCGTTATTTTTTTTCCGTTGCTAATTGATTTTTCAAATATCTGCGATTTTTTCTTGAAATTAGTTTCTATCGTGTCATATCGAGAATTGTCAAGTTTTGGTAGACCAGTTTTTTTCATAACTTACATTTTCCACAGTTAAAACTTTGATGTTTCGCGAAAAGCACACTCCTATATCTGAGATCATGCGTTCAATCCAAGGGACGGGTTGTGGTAAGCTTCTTTGCTTACGCGACTACGCCCAATTTTTCTTAATTTTTTACACTAGAGTTAATAGCCCTCAGAAAACGCTTAGTTTTTTTCAACCTTTTTGTGTGAAACCTACTTTTCTCGAGAACAACCCGCCCAACTCTGAGTTTTGGACTCCATCGAAATTTCAATTTACGTGAATTTCTTCTGCATAAGTGGTTACGCTCAAATTTTCTTACAAAATAAACTATGATTCTCGGAAATGTCATTTGTCATTCGATTTGTTGACTGGTTTTTGCACTTTTCACGATAAATATCCTGCCGAAGCTGATATCATAGGTTTAATTTAAAAACAAATTGTTGAAAGATGGCCTTTCTAGTTAGTTACGTCCAATTTTTTACAGAAAAATTATGGTCCTCAATAAAGTTAAAACTTTGAAAGCTCATTTTTCGGATTCTTTTTCGAATTTGATCAAAAACTACTGCGCGAATTCGCACATTAAGTGTTTAGTCGAGAAACATGCGTTTTGAAATCTTCTATAGCTTATCGTAAACGATCTGCTTCTGTCAGAAAAAACTTATGAATTTCGGTTAGTTAAGTTTTCGAATTTTCGACTATTTTTTGAAACCTGAATTTTCTTAAAAACTACCCTATCAAATATCAGATTAAACATTCAATTCAAAGAAACGGTTGCGAGAGTTTTGTTTTCTACAGAAGCGGCGTCTCTTTATTTTTTTGTGAGAGAACTGTCATGTCTTTGGTAAATTCCCTCTTCTCACTTATTTTTAGTAGAGAAACAACGAAGGTTTTTGGCAAAGTCAATGTTTTGAAATTACGCATTTCGTTCAGCATCACTGTATAAAACATATCAAACACGTAACTCCGGCTTTAGCTAGTTGTCTTGAATCGAGACATACAAAACATTTAGTTAACCGTGACTTTTTTTCCATTTTTTTTACGTTTTTATGTTAGTGTTGTATTTTAAGTAGTGTAAAGCTTCGCTTTATCTGTGTTTATGAACTTTCTCTTTTCCAAACTTAGTCGCAAATTTTGTTGCGATGCAATTGTTGCAATAAAATGTGTGTCATTTTGAAAGTGTTGATTTTGATCCAGCTATTAAGTACAGCTAATGCTATGGATATTAACACAGACTATTATATTACAAATTGCACTATAGTGTCACGTTATGATGGTTCTGTAGCGTAGAGGTAGGGAAGAAGACCAGCAGAAAAATTAGAGGGTTCGAACCTGGGCTGGGTCGGATTTTTAATGAACTTTTTCGTATACTAGTTAAAATGCGTCCGCTTTATAAATTGAAGCATGTTAGTTGGTAAACTTCTTTTCAAGTTGACTGGTCATGCTAATGCGTTATAATTGGCTTGCGTCACTGAAGAAATTTTGTAGACTCAAAGTTTTACTCATTCAATTTTTTTCCAGTAGCGTTGTCGGTCATTATTTTGCTTGTGTGTGGGAAGTGCAACTTCGCCTCTGTGTAAATTTTGTGATTCGGATGACAACGATTTCAAAAATTGCTATATGAGTGCAGTGATATTCATTCAAATAATCATGTTAATCCCGGATTCAAATAAATCTTCGAATCCCGACCGGATCTTGTGTTGTTGCACCATGTTTGTATGTATGCTTATGTTGCTTTGTTATTAAACCCCGACCTATTTTGGAGGTCCAATCCCTCTTGGTCTAGTTGTAAAAAACGCGACCTCGGAAAATAAGATCTTTTGTTCTAAGATCTTGTTTTAAGATCTGTAAGAAGATCTGTCTTGCTTTATTATGGAAACTCAACATCATTCACGCCTCTCTCATTTTGTCTTGAGATAAGTGCCAGGGTTCGAGTCACGGCTGTAACTTTTTTTCGGCGTGGAAATCAGTTTCTTTGGAAATTTTGAATGATCGGTTCTGTAGTTTAAGTTACCAACTTTGATTTCGTATAACTATCTTTTTTGTGCTTAAATGGGTTCGATTCATGCTGTATTGACTTGTTTACCTCATTTTGAGTTGTTTAAATTGCAGAAAAAATAATGTTTTGCTTTTGCATGTTTCAAAGATTGGGGAGTGAAGATTTTTTAGCCATGACATCAATCGGCGTTTTCGGATCAACTTGCGTCTACTCTGGGGAGTGAAAGTATTGCAGGCTTAGTTGCCGCTCAGTTATTCTTTTTGGGTTTATTTGAGGGTGATAATTGTGTTCCTTGACTGTTCATCCAAACGAATGAAGAAGACAAATTTGAATTTTTTGTAGTTTTTTTTCTAGTTGAAATTTTTTTCGACCTTGTTGCTTTTCTTATTTTCTGTCTGCTAATTCACAATGCAATTTGTGTTTTTTTGCTATGTGAAAACTAGCTAAAATTCAAACGGAAAGTTGCAATTTGAAAGCAATAGTTCCAGTTGTAACAAAGCTTGAAATGGTCTGTTATGTCAATTTACAGTTTACATTTAATTTTACCTAAAATCATCAGAAAAAACTATATTTGATCAAAATAATTCAATTGAAGTGAAAATATCCGTTTGAAGTGAAAATTTATTTTACCGGCAATTTATTTTAAATTAATATCTTTTATTTGAATGGACATCACTGAATGGGCGTCGAGAACTAAATATGATGAAAGATCGAACCAATTTAATTCTACTTCGATCTTAACGTTAATCTAGCAATTTTTATTGCTCATTCTTGCTGATTTGTATCTAAGTCAGTTGCTCAAAATTATAAACAAAGAACTGTAAATAAAGAAACAAATGAGCATGTATTTCTGAAAAAAAAAATGATTTATTAGATTTAAGTAAATTTTTTTCTAATTTTGAATTTTCTACCTAAATAATTTGGTCGGGACATTTTTGCTACTTCAACAGCAACTGACTGTCCTTGTGAGTTTGAACTGAGGAAATTTGCGTGAGTTTTGACCGAACTAAATCACAACAACTTGCCCAATATGTAACCTGAAATAGGTAGTTTTATAGATTTGGCGGCGTGCCGACATTGTTTTGTTTATAAACATGCCGCTGACTGTAATATGGGTCTTGCAATGGTTTAATAATTTTCCATGGTATCAAGAAATCTACACTTGGTTCGATATTTGAAGGATTTTTTGAGACAGCCGATTGAGTAGAGGGTATTTATCAGAGACGCAGATTTGTTCATTAAGTTTGTTTCACGATTCATAGCTTTTGTTGCTAGATTTATTTATGCTCTTGGTGCAATATTGCGATGGCAAAAGTCTCCTTGTGGCGATAGTTTACAGCTTAAGTGTATCTTGTTCACCGGACAGACTTGATTTTGCGTTAGGATCACATAAAATATCTAAATGGTTTTAGTCAAACGTTTATTTCCGCAATATGTCTGATTTTTTCCGCTTTTATTCTTTTTGTGTTTTTTTTTCGTCCCTCCCTTTTCAGTCCGCTTGTTTTGAATCATGTTTTCATTATGTACCACAAATAAAACAGACGACGCAATATCAGCGTTGTGTTTGTGCGTGCACCGGATAAAGTCAAATGGTTTCAGTAGAGCTTAGTTGATTTGACCAATTCTACAACCGACCTCCTGCAGCCATAAGAGCAGAAGACGTCTCATTTAATATACGTCTCGTTAAATATAATTGAGCATGAGCGTTAACTTAACAAGTTGTTAAGATTAAAATACTGCTCTTTAAAGACACTTCAACAGTCGGGAAGCTATCATAGCGACAAAGCATTGGTTAAAAATGTCTTAGTAAGCTTCGCCGATATGTCTGATTCGTGTCATGACGTTTGCCCATCTTAGGTATTGAATCAATGATTTTTTCCCGTTCTTACGCTTTTTACTCTTGCGATAAGCAAGAGTATTGCAATCGTCTGCAACTGTTAAACGTGAAACTGTAACTCGTGAAAATAAACACTTTCAAATCTCAAAAGAGATGAATCAAGATTAGTATTTAGCATTGCTCTTTCAGTCTGGGAGTAAGAAGTTTCCTTTGAGAGAAGGTCCCAAAATCTGCAGTATCGGTAATTCGTCGACTGAAATATTCGTTGTTAATATCCCACTCAAGTAAAATTTAACGCGCAATTTGAAAAGTATACGTTATGAGAATTAAACGTAGTGGTACTTCACTATTTAAGCACATTGGTTGGTGGTGTGTGGATTGTTTTATCCCGTTCCACGTTTTTCATTGGAATTGGGAATAGAAGTCAGTTTCAGAGAAAAACTAAGTTGAACAAAATCTAGATCACGCCAATAATGCCCGCTAAGTAAATTGGAGCGCCTTAAATTTACCAACAGAACAGTCTACTGTTGCAACGCCTTTCAGGGAACCAAGTTTCAAGTTTAGACGCAGATTTAATTCTGCTATTTACATTTTTTGCTATAATTTTGAACATGAATGATTTTATATTTATTCTCAGTCATTGACTTTATTGGACGGATTTATTGAATAATCTATTCTTAGAGAACTAGAAGTATTTTCAGCTAGAAGTATACAACACGAGTTTTTTTAGTAGTGATGCCTCGTCTGTTGTAAATGAAAAAATGAAGTGTCATGCTCCAGTTTCTTTTTTTGTCTAAAATAGTTTGAGATCTTTTGAGTTGTGTACGAGATATAGTTCATTTGTGATATTTTTTTATTCAACGGTAGATTATATTGCTTACTTCGATTCTTTCAAGAATTTTTTCATTTGTAGTCTATATTCGTTAAAAACTTTCAAAATTTTATATTTTTTCTTGATGATAATAGAATTACTGCTGCAGAGCTATAAAAGAAATCTTACAACATACTACATTTTACATAGACAAAAAGCTGTTTCAAATACTTTTTATTTAAATTGTTTTTTGCTAACATGGGGTTTTTGAGCAACAGTTTATCACTCTGAAAAAGCTGAAATTCAGCTTGTAATCCTTCATTAAGACGACAAAAGAAGATGGAGAACAATAACAACAACTCGAGTGATGCAAGTCAGTGGTCGGTATTCAAATCACAACACTGTCGTATTTGGTTTGGCGTGGCGCAGCAGTTTGACTCGACTGGGAAGACTACGGATGTGTTCCGAGTGATGCACTCGTACAAGCCGAGACTGAACTCAGTTGACGGATCGGAAATTGAACACTCGAATGTGTACTATTACGATGATGATAGAGGAACCGTCACCTCAAGTGAGTTTGAAAAAAAAACCTTTATTTGGCTACAACTTGTAGGCCTATTCATTTTTAAGTTGCTTTATCACGGTTATTTTTGTGCTGAAACAAGTATCAAGGTATTTGCAAGTGTTGTTCATTGCACAATTCAATTATTTTGTAAAATCATTTTTTTCGCTGAACTTGTGTCTGCTTCAAGATGTCGGCTTTGTTTTTGCTTCGTAAGTATTGTTCCGTTGCTGAATTAAAATTCAATTGTCGTGCTTGGCTTTTTTGCCTAGAATTCTTGCTTGATAAAAACAGGTATTATAAAAAATTTCGGAGTAGGTTTTTTTTGGAGAGCCACGGAGGAAGACTTTTCACTTTTTGAAACAATCTGTGGGGGGATATTTGACCCGTAGTTTTGTTTTTCTCTTTGTTTTCTTAAAAACGACCCTCCCAAATCTGACATTTTAGTTTCAATGAATTTTTTAACACAAAGTTATATCTCTCGGAATCGTCAGTTTTTTGATTTTTGGATCGTTTTTCGAATCTACTGTTTTATCTCGAAATCTAATCACCCAAATCTGATATTGTGGGTTTAATGAAGATAGCGGGTAGTGGGAATTGTTTTAATTTTGTTTTCACAAAAAGTTATTGCCCTCGTAAAAATTAACGTATGATTTTGAACCGTTTTTTGAACGTTTTGCATTTTCTCGAAAACTTATCTCCCACATAGGGGCAGTAGGATTTCCTCGAGGGGGAGGGTTTTCAAGAAATATTCGCAAATTTTTGACCAGATTTTGAAAGTTTTGGACGTGTTGACAAAATAATCGCGTTTTTTTTCGGCTCGTCTTCTCCCTTTGAAGTTAGTTTAATATTGGCGCCCAACGTGCTTTAAGAAAACTTTTAGTGCCAGCCAGCTAAAATGGAGTTCATGCGATAGTACTAAAGGGGAGACTTTTTGGGTAAGGCAGGGGGTCGAAACTAAATCCACTACAGCTACCACATCTGAGATTTTGGAGTCATTCAAAGAAGGGGTTGTGCGAATATCCTTTGCAAATGCAATTCTACTCAAATGTTTTTATGACACAACAACTTATGGCCCTCGGAAAAGACAAAATTTGAAGTTTTTGACTTTTCTCGAGAACTACCTTTGGTTAAATCAAAATAATGCTAGCAAATCTGAGTTTTTGGGTTAATTAAAACTGCAAGTTGCACGAATTTGTTATGCTTAAGCGTATACGCCCACTCGTATTCTGCTGAAGCATTACACAAAGTTTTCCGCTAAAGCGTTACCCAAAAAGCTATAGTTCTCAGAAATGTCTGTTTTGTTTTTTGACCGTTTTTTGGACTTTTCTTGCTAACTATCCTGCCATAGATTTTATCGATATCATAAGTTTAATGGAAAAAAACAGGCATTAAAAGACTACGGCTACCTTTATAATTGGCAACGCACAATTTAATTCAGTAAAAAAATGGGCTTCAAAAAAGTCAAAATTGAAAAATTGACCGCTTTTTGGAAACTTTTTGACTTTTCTCGAAAACTACCGTACCAAATTTCAGGTTTGGTTTAATTGAGAAACTCGGTTTTTGGAATCTTCTCTACTTTAGCGGAAACGATGTGCTTCTTGCAGAAAAAATTTATGGAGTTCGGTTAGTCAAGTTTTCGAATTTCTCCATTTTTTTCTGAATTTTCTTAAACCGTCTGAATTTTCTTAAACCGTCTGAATTTTCTTAAAAACTATCCTATCAAATATGAGAGTAAAAGTCAAATTGAAAAAAACGGTTGCGAGAATTTTTCCTGCAGAAGCGAAGTCTGTAATTTTTCTGAAAGAGAAATGTTATGTACATGGGAAAATTGCATTATCTCAAAAATTTTCACGCTTCTCAGTTCTTTTAGTTAGTAGAGAAGCAACTAAATTTTGGGCAAAGTCCAATTTTTGAAAGCACACATTTCTTCGCGCATCAGTATAACAAATTAAAACATAATCAAACTCGCACCTCCACCTTTAGCCGGGCCTCTAGTTGTTTTTTATTGAGACATACGAAAATTGTGGTTCAACTAAGTTTTTTTCACCATTTTTCAATTTTTTTTGTTGCTTGTTTTTTGTCGCAAGTGGCGCGAAGTTTCATTTCGCTTCTCTGTTGAAATTTACCAAACATGCTCTATCACTTTGCTCGAACATTTGCAAAAGAAGCATAGCTTACAAAAAACATGAAACTATTTACGCTTGCGATTAGCAAGCGTTATCATATCGTAACAGAAGTCTTACTTCAGGTAAACAAATTGTGCTGAATCTCACTGAATCATTTCAGCTGGATGGTTTAAATTTAACTTATGGTGGTTGCTATGAGTGGTGACTACTAGTTGCCCTGAAAGCTTACTAATTTTTATATTCATTGTAAATTTTCGATTACCGATTTTGTGCATTTTCAAATTTGAAATTTTTTAATGCAATTTAATGCATGAAATTTTTGGTTGAAATCTGACCGAATTTGCTGCATGAATAATTGTTTTTAGGTTTTTTATTTAACTAATTTTAGATAATTTTTGTGAATCGCAAGTTGTGCGAAGCTTGTCCCTGATTTGACTATTTTGAAAAACCTTCACTTCCAGGCATCAATACGCTCAAAAACTTACATCACAAATAAACGATTCAACTTCTACCACGTTTATGGTCAAACTCAGTTTTGATGCATAGTTCTATGGGCTGCACGAGAGTGAACAGCTATTGCCAGTGATGTCAATTTAAAAAAATTTAAACCAATTTTTTAACCATTAGCAAAATTAAAATTTTTTACCCAAATCGGTTCAACCAATTTTGCTATTAAACAGTGATAAAACAAATTATAAATACTCTCTAACTTTAGTAAATCATGCAAGTTTCAACGCGCGAAATTTTTCGGACGTAATTTTTTTAAAATTAAATTGCCAATTATCGATCGATGGAGCACGAATGAGTGAAGGTTTGGAGTGGCGTGGGAAAGTATGATTCCTTGGCTTTACTTAGATTCGTGCTCTCCTGAAAGGCTAATATATGAGCTAATTTAAGTTAGTTAGACATCACTTGTATTTAACCAATTGGTTATTGGTAAAATCAGTTGAACAATCCGTTTTTTAACCAATTGGTTAAACTAATTGTCATACAAATGGTTATTTTGGACATCACTGGCAAGTGCTACAAAAAGTATTAATTTGTCATCGCATTTGTCTTCGCGACAATTTTAATTCTAGACGCTATAGTTCTCTGATTTATTTGCGGGATCTATGTATCCTATTTTGTACGAACGAGACAAACTTTGGACCAACTAGTCTCGATATTCTTAATGGCAGAAACGTATTTGGGATTTGGAAGATTTGTTTTTTTTCGACATCTTTTTCATAAGTTTTGCTTGATTATTCGGCTTTCGTCTCATATTATGTCGACTGTTATCGGAATTGGTTCTGATAGAGAGCTGCAGTTTTGAAGAGAAATTGAGAATTGCTTCGACTACGTGTTCTTAGTTTGGCTCAATTCTGTTTAGGCCCCAGATGCGGTCCCTGGTTTTACAAGGAAGAAGATTCGATCACAATTGGATTCAAGGGAGTGAAGCACCCCAAATGGCCCAACACCAAATTCATATTCTTCCCTACGGGTTAGAAACAGCTTAAAAACATCGAAACTTGGGCAAACAATTTTAAACAAAAATAGCAATCAAAAGCAACATTTGATATTAATTAGCGTTTTTGATACAATGACATTATTTTCATTAGAACGAAAGATATTTTGCTGAGATCGAAATCGTAGAAGCAGAGTGTAATCGTTTTTGATTGTCTTCTGTAGGATCTGGAATCATGTTCAACAATTCGGCCGTGAACTATGGCAGCGTGGAAACATGTGTTAAGCTGTTTGTGCTCCATCCGCAACGACCAAACATCCGACTGAGTGTGATGGTCGAATATTGTGAACTTACTCTACAGTCATGCAAAGTGTACTTCGAAAACTCAGACGGTAAATCACTTATATCCTTGCTAATGTTCATGTTTTGCTGTTTTAATCTATTAAATGATTTAGATTTGCAATTAACTTTGTTTTTCTGAAATTTGAGTATAAACAATTATCTGAGTCGCCAAGTCAGCTGAAGGTTTATGAGAGAGACGTTAGAAAGCTGCAGAATATCATCATTTTTTTTGCTGGATGGAGTATTTATTTGATGATTGATGTCTGAACAAACTCAATATTTTTTTTGACTGCAGCTTTTAAATAAAACTAATGATATTATTTTAGGATGGAAGTCTCCGTTCTGGGAGGAACAAGAATCGCATGACCTAATAACCCCGATTACCCCTCTGACATCATCTGTTGTATCACGCCAGACAATCGACTTCAATCTCAACTTTTCCAGCTCACAAGAGGACCCAAAACCTCTGCAAAGTGACCATGTATTCTCATTTGACTCGGACTCCATTGGATCCATTTTTGACAATGCACCCTCGGATTATCTATCCTTTAACCCAACCAAAAATGTAACGATAACTTGTCCGAAGTTTATGAAACCGAACGTGAATTCAAGTGATGGTTCTTTGAACGGAACTCAACGTGCCGCGTCGTTTGTAGCTGTTAGATGGAACCAAGCGCCAGACAACTGCGCTTCAGATGTCATTGCTGAATTTGATCTGGATACCCGGTTCAAATCTCTCACCGAAATTCACTACAAGCACTCGACGGTTGAAGCTTAAAACCGAGTTCAAAGTCGGAAATTAGTTGAAATTATTAAGTTTAACTGCTCTTTTGCTGCTTAGCTGCTGCGTCGCACTAACCACTGCCATCATTGTTGGTTGCTAAATTAGGAATAGATTCACAAATGTATTTACTTTGTATTACACAATATCTTTATCAATAAAAATATTTGTACATTTCGTATTTAATGGATATCGTCTGAAAGGCAATGTAACATACACCCGGAAGTACATACCGACGGAAAGTAAAGCTAGATCCTAAAACGTCTGGCTAGCATCTAAATAGAGCCTTACGTGCTTTTAACCGTCTCTGCCATAGTTCAATGTGGTTCTCATAACATCGGGTCGACAAAATCGTTACTACTTAAAGGCTATCGGCCGAACCTCGCAAAGTAACTTAGTTTTATGTACTATAGTGAGCTCATGGCTGGATTATAGTATCCTCAGACCACGAGGTCACTTCTAGAATCAGGGCTACTACATTATTGTTATTGTGTTACTATATTACTATTGTTTTTGTTCAGAAGAGAAAATCATCCTATCCATCGGAGATAGATCGACCCTTTCCCTTTACTCCTAGCTTCCCATGATCTGAAAATGAATCTGATGTTATAATTAAGTTCAGGCCATAACGGGAAGCTAAAAAGTAATTAAAACACAGTTTACAGTTACTCTTCGAAACCATACCGGCTTATCGAATCCGCGTGAAGAAGCGTCTTCTTCACTATTGGGTAGGGTTTTGTTTTCTCCCGACAGCCTTCCTGGTTCGCGGGATTTGCTCTGTAAAAATTGTAACTGTACAATCTTTACAGTGCGGTGCGTCTTCTTGAATTCAACTGTTTTTCACTATCTTTTCTGTCTTGACACTCTATCTGCTGTTCTGACCAGTTAAAATTGCTGTCCTGATTTTCGGGATTTTTCAGTGGTCGCGAAAATCAGATCTTAACGTGTCGTGCACTCTCAAATCAAAATTTTAAAAATAAGTTGGTATATGGAGGAGTTTTTGATTATTGCACGTTTGATTATTGTATGTTAATGTCTAGCAAGTAGTGCGAAGCTGCGCTTTTCTCCTCTGTTTTTTTTTAAGTCCTGTTAGTCAATGGTTGAGCTTCCGAAGTATTTTTTTCAACACTAATTTTAACCGATGGTTGCAGAGATCGATTTAAGAGTGGAACTACAGCTTATACATTTACTTAAGCGATACTAGCGGAGTTTTTGTTCAAGGTCGAGTCCTATTTTTAGTTAATGTGCCCATTTCGGTGCAGTCTCAGCGCAAAAATTGCAATGACCTGATTTATATCAGCTTCGTTTTTAGTCATTTTTGAAAGTGGAGGATTGATTTGATTGATCCCTCATTATCCATAGGTTTGATTGACCCCTCTTGTGATTAGCAAGCGTTATCAATTTCAAGCATTTACTTCTATTTTTTCTGTATGGAAGTTTTTAAAGAAAATCACGTGAAAGAGCTGGTCAACTCATACTTTTTTACTTAGTTGATGACAATGAGTGAAATATTGCATGACAATGAGTGAAATCTTGTGTTCTTTCAAGGCCAATCATTTGCTTGATTGGAGCTGCAAAATCATTAGATCTGATTTACTTTTGCTGCATTAGCGTTATATCCTTATTACTTTTGTGCATTACCATTTAATCTTTGTATCTGGTTTATTAGTGGCTAATCTTTTTGAATTGCATAATTCATACATAATTTGGTCCTATGGTTTTAGTTTTTTTACATGCAAAGTTAGTGTGGATGCACAATTTGTTATATTACATGAAAAGTTGTTTTCTATATTTATTAATTTCCCTTTTTAGCTGCCTTGCAGTGACAGTTTTTTATGTAGCTGCTGCATATGCAGCTGCTGCATTTGTTGCTAGTATGAGCAATTTCTCAAGGGATCGTAGCGCAGATGCGAGGGTAGGTGACTCTGTTTCTCATGTCGTAGAATTGATTCTGTCACAAGTTTTTTCCAGGCTAATTTTTACCTTTTTTCCTGTTTCACTTTGTATAGCTCTTTCTCCTCGTTTTGTCGCTAGTGTTTGCGAAGCGCAGCTTCGCCTGTGTCTAATATTTTGTCAAGCAATCATGGCGTAGACTCCAAATCTCGAGGTCAGGCGTCGATTCCGGTACATAGCAGTTTTTTTTTAGTTTTACCCTTTTCGAACTACTTTTTGTCGTTTTCTCACTTGTTTTTGCAATGTGTAGCTTCGCCTCTCTGTAAATTGATTTTTTTTTTGTTTTGCCAGGAAAGCTGATTGCAGGCATAGCCTCCTCGAAAAAAAAAGTTGTATAAAAATGAGCGAAGTCTTCATTTTTCTTTTTTTTCGTGTTTTTTAAATTTGACTGTTTTTTTTTAAGTTTTGGATTAATTTTCATTTTTTGCAGTGCCACTAAGTAAGATATGGTGAATAGTTTTGTCGACCTGTTTTTAGTTCGACCACGTTGAGCTTAATATCTTTCATAGAACTTAATAAAGGTCCTATTTTGATAAAATTCCTGCGCCCCAGGCAAATTTTTGCAAAAAAGAACGTTTTTAGGCAAGTTTGGTAGGTTTTTTGGCCCCAAAAATTGCGTTTTTTGAAAAATATTTTGTATTGGTGGTTCTAAAAAAATTGTTTTGGTTGGCTGAAAATTAATAACGTGAAATAGTACTAATGGGGGAAATTTGTATGGCGAGGGATCCACTACTAGGAGAGGTACAGTATCGAACATTATTATCATGCGAATGCAGAATGTTTTGTTTCAAGGTTAAAATTTGTCGGATGTGTATTTTGCGTTGTGAGTTAAGATCTTTTTCAGAAATGACTGGCTTCAATTCTTTGGGTCTCGCTTATGGCCTACTGGTCTGTGGAGGTGGCATTTATGGTTATATTAGAAGTGGAAGTGTTCCTTCTATCGTGGCTGGAATGAGTTTTGGAGCTCTGGCGATTGCTGGATCTGCCGAACTATATCACGATCCGACGAGAATCTGGATTCTGCTATCGTCCAGTGTAACTCTTTCAGTTCTAATGGGAGCTAGGTATTTTTCAACTGGCAAGTTCATGCCGGCTGGTTTGTTATCGGTGATCAGTATGCTTATGTCTGTTAAACTTCTAGCAGCAAAATACACGTGACATGTTTTTTTACCTGTACGTTGGAAACTTTGAATTACAAAGTATCTTTATGTTCGAGTAATATTGTGCAATGTTTCATTGAAAATTTCATTGAAATTGTTCTTTTCCATTAAAATCTTCCATTAAATATTGATGATGTCTTCCAATAATTATCACTTTAATTATCATATTTGTACATGTGTAGGGATCATTTAGTTTTTTGTGCAAAAAATTGGCCCGAATTTTATTTAAAATGATTAATTTAATTAAATTTTTCATAGTTTTAATTTGGTAATTCAGAAATATGCTATGTTTTCCAGCAAATTGATCGCCTGGTTTTCGTTTTATCAATGATTTGATTTTGTTTCCAGGCTCTTTTTAGTATCAAATAAGTTACACTGATGATTGGTTAGTATCCGTTGCTTACTCTTTTGAACTATAATAGTTTTATTGTTTTCAGATCTGATTAGATGTATTAGTTAAAGTGAGAGCATTAATAATTACTAACAGGTTGTTAATCGCCTGTTTTCTTGAAATCAGATTATACTAATTAAACAAGTGTAGAAACTAATCATCATGGCAGTAGCAACAGCCTTGGATTCAACTACCAATGGCACCCTCAATGAGGTTGAGGCAGGGGGGAGTGGAAATCTGCCCAATGGAGACGCTCATCGGGAAGAAGAAGAGCAACAGGAGGAGAGGGGAAGAGAACCGAATGGTAACGAAGCAGACAAGGAGAACGATGAAGAATCCAATCCTAATCAGAATCACAACGGAACTGAGGGAGAAGGGGACGATTCTGCTTCTCAAGAGCAGAAGGTTAGACCTCAAAATTAGAATTTTGATTCGAACTCAGATATTAAGAAGACGAAGAACAAGAGATGTATTTTCACAATGAAACTATTTTTCCAGTAAGCTGGCGCTAGAGGTAGAAAACTAAAGGCTTTGAAAGAATTTTTGCTTTTTATGAACAAAAGATCGAATTTGTTTAATTTATGTTCCACAATTGATTTTCTGAAGAAAAAAGTCTGGGAAGCGTCATTGTCGCGTACTGGTAAAGCGTATTTGAAGCCTACTAAATACGGGTGCTAGTACCAGGCATGTGTGTCACAAATTTTATATTCTATTATCTGCAATGTGAAAACCAGCTTTCAAGTCGTTCAACTCTTTACGTTGTTGTTGTTGTTGTTGTTAGCCCACGCGGGTCGGGTTGGGCTCTTCTGTCTCCAGGTCAAGGAACTTAGCAACCTCTACCGGCCGAAGCCACAGGTCTGCTGGGGTGAGTGGGGAGGGGTTTTGGGAGCAGTTGAAAAGGTGACATGTTGTGTGGGGGGCAAGGGAACAGGTTGGGCAAAGGTGGGAGATGGAGCTGTCGAGGCGGGATAGGTAAGTGTTAAGGAGCCGGCTGTAGCCAGACCGGAGTTGGGAGAGCTTACAGCGCGTGGGACGTGGGAGAGATTTTTCAGAGGGGTCAATCTTTGGGGGAGGGATACAAATAACTTTAGACGGAGGGGTTTCGGCTAGGAACTTGGTTACAAGGGAGGTATGGTTGTCTTTTAAAACTGGTTTGTAGTAGTTAAAAATAAAAGTGGAGACTTCGTCTCGGTCGTCCAGAACTAGAGGGTGGTTTGCGTAGACTGAAAAGTCGGTTAAAATTTTCTGGGTGTCTTCTTTGAAGCAGCTTATAATTGAGGGGCGAAGTAGACGGGGAGGAGGGGGATGTGAATGTATAAAATTAATGGGATGGTGGGAACGATAGGTAGAGATAAAAAATTGAGATGACAGAAGGGTATGGTGGTCTTTGACCGTTAGGATTTCAGATTCACTGTGCAGGTGGGCAGTGGAACTCATTAGATTTGATCCAGTAACAACGCGAAGGGATTGGTTTTGGGCAACCTGCAGGCAATTTATGGAGGTGTTACTTGATGCGTGGGACCATGCGGGGGCTGCATAGTCAAGTATGGGGCGAATTAAAGCTTTAAAAGTTAGGAGGAGGGTTTCTTTGGAGTGACCCCAGGTTGATCCTGCTAATGCCTTCAGGATTCCGATCCTGCGTCTGGCCTTTTCAGCGGATTGTTTGCAGTGAGTGGCAAAACAAAGTGTTGGATCAAATGTCACCCCTAAGATTGTTGGATTTTTGTTTAGGGGTAGCGCCTCGTTATTTAAAAGAACACTAGGTGTTTTATTAAATTCTTTGTTATAAGAGGAGAAAAGTGTAACTGAGGACGCGAAACTTAGTTTGCGTGAGGTGAAAAAATTGTAGAGCCTTTTTAGGTAGCTATTGATGGAGTTTGAGGCGATATCAATATTGGAACTGCTTGCGAAGGGGTGGAAATCGTCTGCATACGAAACAAGGTTTACATTATCGGGAGGTGGCGGTGCATCATGGACATAAAAATTGAAGAGTGTGGGTGATAAAACAGAACCTTGGGGTACGCCACAGTGGATTATTCGATGGGGGGATGTGTGTTCACGGAATGAGGTGGCAGCCTGTCGACCATTAAGGTAATTACTTAGCCAGCGGACTAGACTTCTTGGGAGGGGAGTGTCATGAACGAGTTCCACAAGTGAGCGATGACACACCATGTCGAAAGCCTTAGATAAGTCAAGTGTGGCCAGTACCGTACGTTTAGGGGGGCGATTTTGGTTAAAACCGTCTGAAATGTAAAATTCGAGAGTGGAGAGAGCTGTGGTGGTGGAGTGAAAAGGGCGGAAGCCGTGTTGGTGTTTGGCGTTGGGGAGATGTTTGGTAAAGATGGGGTGAACGAGCCTCTCCAGAATTTTAACTGCTGGGCAGAGTAAGGATATAGGTCTGTAAGATGTTGATTGTTTAAGATCCTTATTGGGCTTTGGAAGCGGTGCAATTTTTGAATTTTTCCAAATTTGGGGGATAATGTTTTCGGACAAAGAGATATTAAAAAGGTATGTTAAGTATTGAGTAGCAAGTGGGCCGAGATGCTTAAGATGTATATTACAAAGGCCGTCGGGACCTAGCGCTCGCGATGGTTTGCTGTCTGCAATGGCTTGTTTAGTATTTTCAGGGGTAAAAATTGGGTTGTCTGACAGCGGTAGTTTGGCAATTTTTCTTCTCGTTATACGAAGGAGTTTGTCAGAGGCGTGGGGTCTGGCATTGGTGAATTGTTTGTTAAAAGAGCTGGTAATATCACGAGGTGAGTGTATGGGTTTAGAACCAAAAGTAATGGGGTGTCTTCCTGCCACGGGCTTAGATCCATTTAAGGAGCGTACCACTTTCCAGAACTTTCTGGCACCAGTGCGGTAGTCGCAAGTCCGGAGGAATTCTCGCCATTTATTTTCTTTGTCCTTTGCTGTCTGTTTCATGAGTCTACAGTTCAGTTGGGATATGACTTCTGGGGGGAGATTTTGTTGTCGGCTTAAATCTCTTTCGGCGGCAAGGGCAGTGGACTCGGGGGAAAGAGAGGGAGTGAAGTGGCGAATACGGCCAGCGGGGATGTGGTGGCGTGCTGCCCTGAGCACCAGGTCCCTCAAGAATTTCTCTCCGGCGGCAACTCCGGAAGGTGGAACCGCTGAAAAGAAACCCTCCTCAATTTCCTCTGTGAATTTGATCCAATCTGCTTTTAAAAAATTTATAAAAGTCCTTTTAGGTGAAAAATTTATAAAATCATCCAAGGGTAGTTCTAGAAGAATGGGTAGGTGATCTGATCCTAGAGATTTAATTGGGGTCCATGATGTGGAGAGTAAGAGCGATTGGGATGCGAGGGAAATATCTGGTGACGAGAGTTGGTTTTCTGAGTTAAAAGGGACTCTGGTTTGTGTGTCATCATTTAATGGTGCAAAGGTGGATTCGGTTATTTCATTGCTAAGTACAGAGCCACGTTGATCTTCCTCGATGTTGGAGTTCCATAGTTGTGAATGTGCGTTGGCATCCCCGAGTACTAAGGCGTCCCCAGGTTCAAGTAGTTCGGCAAGGGACGCAGAGTAACCAGGGGGACAGCTCGAGCGAGGGGGATGTAGAAATTATAAATACGAAGCTTGGATGAACTGGCTACCACTGATATGCCCATAGCCTCTAGTGTTCCATCGTTGTTAATATTTATTTCTTCGTATTGTATCGACTCATGTATGGCTATGAGAAGACCGCCCCCTTCTTTTTCTCGATCTTTTCTAATTAAAGTGTAGTGTGAGCCAAGTGAGGGGTTTCAAGATTTCTTTCTTAATTTAGTTTCTTGGAAGACAGCAATATGAATTTGATTTTGAGATAAGAAAGCAGCAATTTCGGGTGCTTTTCCGGAGATACCGTTGCAATTAAATTGAAGGATTTTTAAAAGGCCTTTGGCGGGGTGTGGTGAACTATTTACATTATTAACAGCAGTATGATTAAAATGGTTGTTTGAACTTGAGTTATTTACACTATTTACACGATTACGATTTGCGCGATTTTGGGAGGAGGAATTATTATTCGAGGAGGTGGGAAGGGTGGGAGGGGGAGGGGGGTTAGGGAGGTGGGGTTGGGGGGCGGTTAGGGAAGTTGAACAAGTTTGGGAGTTGGGGGTGGTCAAGTTAGAGGACCTGGTGCCTGGGGGAGGTAAAATGTAGGTAGAGGTACAGGTAGGGCAATAGGAGTCAGGGTGGTGTTGGTTAAGGTGGGTAAGACCACTACATTTAAGGTGAATGTAACCACAGATGTGGCACCAGACACTGGGCTGGGTGCGTTTGATGCGGAAAGAGCAAGGGGAGCAAAAGTAAGGCCCTGGACCAGGGTTTGGATTAATGCCGGAGCGGAGTAGTAGTATAAGGATGAGCAGACGGAGCAGCCTGGCCGGCTTCAGACGCTCCGTAACCGAAAACCCGGAGACTTCTGAGCTCCTCCCGACCCAATGGGAGGGGGGGCTTGACGCCATTTGCATCTTGGTGGGGCCCAAGATGTCGGATCCACCACTGGAAGGCTCTTTACGTGAACCGCTTTTGTTCTCCGAGTCGCGTTTTTGCCTAATGCTAATGTGGGGATATTAAAACAAACACTGGGGGATTTGGTCCAATGGGGATTTAGTCTGGGGGATTTAAATCCGGGGGGATTTAGTCCGCGAGCGGCATGGAACATGTTGGCCGGGAAGCACTAACAATTCGACTTACAGGTGAATACTTGAGGCTTTTTGAGCCGCTACACCGGAAGTTTCTTGTATCAAATGTTTGTTTCAGGTTTCGCGTAATAAACTGAAGAAAATGAAGAAAAAAGCGTCGAAGCAGAGACGTAAACAAGAAGAGGTGGAGCACAGTCTAGTTAATGCTGCTACTAATGCAGCTGCATCTAGCAAGGGCAGAACCCTGGCGCCCAGATTCGAAGTAGAGTACCAACCAGAAAGGATCCAACTTAGCTTTGCGGATCCGAACTACGCTCATTTTATGAAAATATTTGAAAAATATAAGTTGCAAGCTCCACCCAAGAAGGAAGAAACGAAAGAGGATGCAAATGAAAAACTAAATGTTGAGAGCGAGGTAGGAAACGTTTTCCACTCAAATTTTGATTTTTTTGCTCGTAATGTATAATTAACGTATTTGCCCTGTGCTCGATTGAATTGGCATTAGACGCAACTTTTTATTACAAAGTCATCATCCAGCGTATTTTGTTAATAGCAATATGTTACCTACAAAAATATCGCTCTCTTGAGTTGTTTTTCCTTGCTGTTTTCTAATATGTTTAATGGTTGTTTGATACTTCAAGGTGCTCTCGGCTGTGTCACAAATTACTTCGGCCCTTGAAACCCAAAAGTTCCCTAAACATGACGACGATGATGATGCCATAAAAGATGAAGACTCGGGGCATCCGACGTTATCTAAAAAGAAACTTCGCAAACTTAATCGATTAACTGTAGCCGAGCTGAAACAACTGGTGACGAGACCTGATGTCGTAGAAATGCACGACGTCACCGCTCGGGATCCCAAATTGCTCATCTGTTTGAAATCGGCAAAACATTCGGTTCCGGTGCCGAGACACTGGAATGCAAAGAGGAAATACTTAGCTGGAAAAAGAGGGTTCCAGAAAGCTCCATTTGACCTGCCTGAGTTTATAAAGCGAACTGGGATCATGGAGATGAGGAGCGCACTTCAAGAAAAGGTTTGTTGTTGCGTGCAATTGCTTATTAGAAAGAAAGAATCCATTTCGCTGCTAAAATATGCAAGCGAAACATATAGCCCGTTGTCTGTCCGCTGCAAATCAAGTCCTGCTATTTGAAGAGGACAGAAAACGGGATCTTAGGATTCCTCGAGCGTCTGCATCTATTAGATGTATGACTAAGGTTTAAAAGTTCATTGGAGATCGTTGTTGTTTTCCGCTTAAGTTTTCCTCTGCCTCTCAAACATAAAATCGATAGTTTTAGGTCCATCAGTTTTTATGGTTGTTACTTAAGTGCAAAGAAATATTTCCAACAGAATTAGAATCATTACTCTTGCGATTAGTAAGCGTTATCAAACCGGAATATAGACTTTTTTCGCGTTAACGGCTAATGTAACAGAATCACTTGACTAATTTTACCTTTGGTTCATATGAAATCAAAAGTCAGACGTTAATTCGCGCATGTGGTGAAGAGGTAAGACGCCTGCCTATTAAGTCAAAGGTCAATGCTTTGAATCATGCCAGGACCTGTTTACTTTAAGCGGAAAATTGTCTGTTCTTCAACAAATCTTTGTCGGACTTATGTTTGTCTTTCTTTTGACGGCTAAAATGCCGCAGCACTAAAATTGCCTGAAAGTTGTGCATTTTTAGTCCAATTAAAAAACAGTTCAGTTTATTTCAGTTTTGGGCATGTAATTGAGCTCTAAGAAGGTCTGCCTAATTTTTTTTGCTAATTTTTGATTTTTTTTTCATGCTGTTCATTAAAAAATTTTGGAAGTTGCTTTCTTTATGAATTCAAGGAATGTTCTGTGCATTTAGTGCAATGGTAACAACCATGCTTGAGATGACTAATTCCAGAATCTCGATTTCAGTCGGGAGCTGTTTTTTTTGTCGAAACTGAAAGTTTCGAATGTTTCAGACCTTGTGTCTGCTAATTTTGTCTGTTTAGGTCCCACAGAAAGGTTCGGTTTCTTTTTAGCATTTTGAAAGCGCGTTGTTAAGTTTTTAATGGTGCAGGTAATTCTGTTTCAGGTATTGTTCGTCCTTTTTTTCAAGCTTTACAACTTTTTTGGCTAAAAAAAATACTATTTTTGAAGGTTTTCTTTTATTTTTGATGGTCTTTTCATTTGCTGATAGTCACAGTCATAAAGAAAGAAAGAAAGAATATATTTCTTCAGATATGATGCATACAAAAACATTTAACAATCAAACATGCGAACAAACTCTACAAAGCATCAATTAATCATCTGAAGAGGATAGACAAAGGTCAAAGATATGACCACTGGGAGTCTACCCTGAGTATAATAACAAACAAGAACTGAAGACCAGTATAAGTGAACTGAAGACAAGTATCTGTAAATAAAACTAGAAGAGCCTAAATTTAATTGTGTTATGGTGTTGCAATTGTGCCTTTGTCATGTTCTTCAAAAACCCTGGTATCTCGAAATTTCTAAAGTCTTAGAAGCTCATCATCTTTTCAGCCAGTATTCAGAGCCTCATATGAGGTTCTGACAGCATCCAGCGACAGACGTAATGAGAAAAAAAAAATTCTCTCAAATCCGTGTAAGTACATGAGAAAATCAAAATTTTCATAAAAATGTCAATATCTCGAAAACTAGCAAGTTTTAGATGCTCATATTTTCGCATTAGAATCCGAAGCTAAAAAGGGTTTCTGATAGCACCCAACTCAAGGGTTAAATATTTAGCATTAAAAAGAAACGGGAAATTATTTAAACACATTTTGTACTAATTCATAATTCAGAAGTTAATTATCTCTAAACTTATGAAAAAATAGAATTTCATCATTTCTTTCCATAAGGCCGAAGTTCTTCGGCAACAAGCTATTATCGCCCAAAATATTTAAGAGTCTTGAACCTCTTTATGTTAATGACTGTAATTTAGTTTTATTCTTGCAAAAAGGAGGACAAAAGGTAATAGAACTCGATTTTCTAGTATTGTATGCAAAGTTTTTCAGTGTAAACAACGAATTAAGATATGGATTTGGCTTTCTATTATGAGCAGATCTCAAACAGAACTTCAGTAGATCATAAATATACAGTTCATGTACTGTTAATACTTTGTTATCATAAAAAGTACTGGTAATGCTGTCATATTTTCTTTTGAAAAAAATCATTCTTATGATTTTTCTTTGAGACAAATGAATTTGATTGAGCGCTGCAAAGCTAGTTCTGCCATATACGAGCCAGCCATATTGTATAATTGGTTTAATGTTAGCATTATAATATTTCAACAAAACACATTTTGGAACCAAATACCTCATTTTTGAAACAACACCACAATGTCTACCTAGTTTAATTTTCAATTTTTCATTCTGCTGAGTGAATGTTAACTTACAATCAACTATTACTCCTAAATACTTACATGCTGACTGAGGATTATACGCAATATTATCAATTTCAATTTTAAGGTTAGAAGCACTTCCATTATCAAAACTAATTAAGGTGGTTTTATCTGAATTAATTGTTAGTTTATTTCATCCATTCTGATATCTTTGTGACATCCTCTTGGAAACATTCAAACCGTGCGCTATTACAGGCTATGTTGGTATCATCCGCAAACAGAAAAACTTTTGAGCTAGATGCAGCAAGGTGCAAATCATTTATATACACCAAAAAGAAAAGGGGACCTAAAACAGATCCCTGGGGAACACCGGTGGTCACTGGCAACCAATCCGACGAATAGTCATTTATTTGAACACATTGAAATCTGTTGTTTAAGTAACTGTTAAACCAAGCGAGACAATTACCCCGGATACCATAATTTTCCAATTTACTCAAAAGAATTTTCATATCCAGAGTGTCAAATGCTTTCTTCAAGTCAACAAATAGGCTGCATTTAATTTTCTTGTCTTTACACATTCTTAATCTTTCAGTTAATTCAGCTAACGCATCAATGGTTGCAAACTTTTGCCGGAAACCAAATTGTCCTTCGTAAATAATATTAAATTTTTCAAGGTAATTATACAACCTAGAGTGCATAATTTTCTCGAAGATTTTGCCACAGCTATTTAAGAGTGCTATTGGGCGGTAATTGCTAATATCCAATTTGCTTTCAGATTTATGCAGAGGCATAACTTTGGCATATTTCAGCGCCTGATGAAAGGTGCCACTTCTAAATGATAAGTTAATTAGATAAGTTAAGTAGGGAGCTAGAACAAAACAGGTTTTAATGAGGAACATGTTACTTATTTCATCCATGCCACAAGAATTTGTCGGTTTCAGGCTATTAATAGTGTTTAAAATCTCGACAAACGAGCATTCAAAAAGGTACATAGAATGAGTCACATTTTCAGTTTGGACGACTTTATTCCAAGCTTTAATCCAATTGTAGCAAAGTAGTCGTTGAAAGCATTGGATATGGTGTGCGGATCAGAAACATTAGTCCCTTCTAACTGTATGGTGGGTACCTTTGAACTTCCTTTTTGTTTACCGTTTATTTCATTTAACAACTTAAATACCTGTCTCGAGTCTCCGATACAATTGTTAAATCTTTTAAAGTAATACTCTTTTTTTTAGTTTTCTTATCATTATTTCAACGTTTTTCCTTTTATTGTGGAAATTATTTTTATTTTCAATATTGCTAACATCAAGTTTCCAAATTTTGTGTAGTTTGTTTCTTTTTAAAATTGCATTTTTCAATTCTTTACAAAACCACGGCGCGTTAACATTTGTACGTTTGACTTTTGAATTTCTTATCGGTGCAAATATATTAATGCTTGAAAGCAAACATTCACTAAATGCATCATAAGCAACATTTATGTCGGGTTCATTGACTAGATGAGATTGTTCTAGCATTTCTTTTATAAGAATTATAAAGTCATTCAGGGATTTCTCCTTTTTTAAAAAGGACATGTCACGATACGTTGAAGATAATAATTCATTTTCTGTCAAACTAAATTGAAGGATGATTGGGCGATGATCCGAAAAGCATTCATTTTCTAGGGTTCTCATAGATGGATTGTATGCTATCATATGATCAATACATGTTCCATTTTTTCCAGTGATGCGAGTTTCATTTTTATTTGAAAGTTCAAACCCATTTGCAGTAATAGTATTCAGATATGATCTCGTGAGGTTGTTTTCTATGAGAACATTTATGTTAAAATCTCCTGTTAGAATAACGGGTATTTTGTAATGACTAAACAATTCCAATTCCCTGTCTAATTCATCGACAAAAAGTTTTTTTCATATCTAGGCGGCACATACTACTAATATTATCATTTTATTCCCAAACACTTCAACTAGAGCTGCTAATGATACGGGAAGAGAAGTTGATAATGGTTCTTTTAAATTTACATTTTCGCCAAGTTGTATCATAGTTCCTCCACCTCTTGTTTTGCGGTTGTTGCTAAGAATTGTATTTAATCCTTTGAAACTAAACATTTTTTCATTGTCTGTTTCAGTTAGCCATGTTTCGGTAAAACATAGTACATTAATTGTTGGAGACTCGAGACTTAGAAGTGCTTCTATATCCTCATGGTGCTTTTTAGGAGACCTAACATTGGACAGTAGTAATTCAAATTTATTAGCACCGCAGGGTTTAGATGGAGTAATTGCTTTAGATTTATGAGCCTGATTGAGCCGAGGCAAACGGGAAAACACCAGTAAAACAACTCATCACACTATTCAAACTGTACTTAAGAGTGTCACCTCCTTCATATAATCCATGATTTTTGTGTACATTTTGATCATCCTTCCACAAGAAATAGATAGAGCCTTCTCTCGTCCAAGCTGATTGAATGCGCGTATCTGACTTCATCATTCTCAAAAAGTTCATTGCAGCTTTAGTTAAATCTTCGAATATCTTAACGTTGTTATAGAGATCAGTTGATGCTAGTTCTTTTTTCCTTTGCAGCAAGTGGATTTTTTTCACCCTTCTTGTAAATCTAACTATTACTGGCTTGACTCCGGGACCTCTTGAGGGCAACCGATGCACGGTGGATATATCTTGTTCTGTAATATTGGCATTGATACTATTTGATACAGTTAGAACGTTTTTAATGGTAGCGTCTATTGTTTATCTTCTTCCATTGTTCGTTTCTGCAGTGATCCCTAATATTTTAACGTTCTCTCTCCTGTTGTAGCTTTCAAGAAGTTCTGCTTCGGATAGCGCTTTAAGATTCGACCTACATTCGACATTGACGATTTCGCCTTTTACCATATTGAGCACTTCTGCCTTCAGTTTGATGGTTGCTTCGGCAATAGTTGACTTTATGATCGACTCGATTTGACTTTTGACCTCATTCAATACATTTGGCATCAGCTTTTGCATGGATTTGGATATTGCGTCCTCGATCTTTTTTGCAATCGTTGAATTCAAGTTGTCAGAATCATCAAGTTCCCCACATGGGCTTAGCACGGCACACTGTCTTTTGCTCCCGGGTGCACAAACGGGAGTCTGGTCATGGAATTTAAGTATTGGCAGCACTTGATCTTGTTGAGCAGGGGATTCATTGTTGCCATCATTCAGGTTATCATCATTCATGTTATCAGCATTCATGTTCGTTCTCTGAAACTATTTAATAAGTTTATCACAACAATTAGGCTAATACAGTCATACATTTTTGTATCGCAAGTGATGCGAAGTTCCGCTTCGTATCTGTGTAAAATTTTGAAATATGATTTTTTGCTTTTTGACGTCTCATTTTTCAAGTTCATATCATGCTAGAAGGCACAGTGCGCTCACCAATTACGAAAGTGATAATAGCAAGAAAAAATGTGACTGGTTTTTGATTTCGAAAAGGGTTTTTTGAATATCAGATTTTCCAGCTGAAAAAAAACCGATTAATCAAGTTTCCTCAAACTAGGTTGGTTTTAAGTAAAAATTATCAGTCATAAAAGAATAAAAGTTCAAAGAGATTTAGCGTAATATATTTTTTTCTCCAAAATTCGAGTTTTTAAAAGCTTTCAAAAATAAATGAATTGGTTTCATTTTTTCGTTTTTTTTTGTGTTCATTGACCTTTTTCATTTCGGTTGGCTGTTTTCTCTTAGCAACAAATAAGACTATTTTTTTCTTAGCAACAAATAAGACTATTTTCTTTCGATGTGCAATTGGCTTGAAGTCAATTTCTGTTGTATTTTAGGAAGATGCGCAGTCAATGAAGACCAAAATGAGAGGCAAAGTGAGACCCAAAATGGGAAAGATAGACATCGACTATCAGAAACTGCACGACGCATTTTTCAAGTTAGTGAATGTCTCAGTTTTGCATACGGCTTCTGAAATTCTCCGCTCAAAGCATTTAGAAATTACAGTAGACGCTCTGCGTATAATTATTGCCATTCTTGAAAAAAAAACGGACCAATAATTTGTGTCACATTTTTTGCTGATTTTATCCCTTAATGTCAAAAAGTGTTTTTTTTTTTCAAGTTCTAACTGATCGACTCATGACTTTATGATGAATGGTCGATTTAATGAGGAATGAGGGTTGTATTGTTAAACGGTTTTTCACAGAATACGCCTGGTTTTAGATATCAGACGAAGCCGAAATTGTCCACTCATGGTGATCTGTACTACGAGGGAAAGGAGCAGGAGACGAGGATGAAAGAGAAGAAGCCAGGAGACATTTCGGACGACCTCAGATCTGCTCTGGGAATGCCAGTCATCGAGGTGATTGAACTTGTCAACCTAACTATCAGAATGTTCTGCAGCAATCATGTTCCTTTGTTTTTCCTTTTTGAGCTTTTTTCTGATATTTCTCATTTCAACTGGATCATCAACTGGAAGAGAATAATTTAGAGGGAAATGTAAAAATTTAACTATCATTTTATCCAAAAAAAATGATTTTTCTAACGTATTTTTGAAACTAGTGCTTGAAGTTGATTTCGATATTTCAACCAAATGAATTGAAATTTAAAAAGCTTAAGGTCATGTCCTCCAATTGTTTGTTTGCACCCTTCAGGAATTTGTTTTGTTTCTGCAGTGCTAGATTTCTAATGCATTGCTTATAGGGCAAGAACAAGTTTCCGCCTCCTTGGCTGATTGCCATGCAGAGGTATGGACCTCCTCCGTCTTACCCCAATCTGAGGATAGCAGGACTGAATGCACCCATTCCAGAGGGCTGCAGTTTCGGATACCACGCAGGCGGCTGGGGAAAACCTCCTGTGGATTCACAAGGTTAGGGTTTTAATTTAGAAGTGCGGTTATTCAAAAAAGTTAGATTTAAATGCAAATCCACTGTTTTTTACCCAAATCTTTTTACCGATGGTTTTCGCTAAGTAAACCTTAGTCGACGAATAAGAATATTAAACAAAAAAGGACAAGTTTGATAAATTTTCAGGTAGGCCACTGTACGGAGACGTGTTCGGTCAAGACACACAAGGTGCATATGGAGGGGACATGGATGCGGACATAGACAAGACCCACTGGGGAGAGATGGAGTCAGAGAGCGAGGAGGAAGAGGAATCTGAGGAGGAGGATCAGGTTAGTTGTTTGTTTTTGTTATGTAGTTTACTTATACTAATTGTGCTGACGGGTTGCTTTCATGCCTTTGCCTTTTTCCTATGTAACCTTCAAAATACGCTTTGAGAGGCGTTTTTCCATTTGAATCAACCAGCTGAACAAAATCAATATTTTTCCAATCGACCAAATTTCAAAATGTGTTATCTGAGAAACAAATTTGTTCTGTTAGGAGCAAGAGACTCCGGATGCATCTGGTTTGATCACACCTGGAACAGAGGGACTGGTGACTCCGAGTGGACTGACTTCTCTCCCGGCTGGGCTGGAGACGCCGGAGGGAATCGAATTGAGGAAGAAGAAGATCGACGAAGAAACTGGGTTCGTTGATGTCCTATTTTGTTTTTCAAGCAAGAACTTTATGCAAAACAACTTGAAATAAATAGAAAATGTTAGAAGTGCGGGGATCTGTGTTGACTTAGTTTGAAACTTGAAAAGACAGAAATTCACCCTGAAATAAATTGCGAGAATGGTATATTTGACTATTTTTCTGCAATAGAGAATTCAGAATTAGATCGGGTGTGTCGCATTTTTAATGAGGAATCTATTATATCTTATTGGGATCTGTGAATATTTTAGAGGAGAGACTCCGCAGTTGTACACAGTGTTGCAAGAGAAGAAGGCGGGAGGAGTGGCCGCCTCCTTCATGGGGTCCTCGCACGTTTACGACATGGTAAGAGAAGAGAAACTTAGTCCTGCTGCAACCGAGTTGTTATTCCGATCACTTAATGAAGAGAAAAAAGAGCTATGGCGTAGGTTGTGTCTTTTCCCACCCAAATTTGACGTACACAAAGAAGTTTGTAGAATATCAAATGTGGTATCATTTTTAAGCCCTTTCAGCCGTGATTTTGATTTTCTCACACATTTTCTCAGTGTCGAGAAAAATTGCTCTGAATTTTTTGGTTTTCAGAGCACATTTCTTGGATTTTTGATCACGCTCAATCAATTATTACGCTATTTTAGATTTTATTTTTTTCTCTTTCTGCAGTTTTTTTTACCTTAATATAAAATATTACGGCATTAGAAAGTTCCAATTTCCTCTTATTTTTGAGTTTCTGTATTTGAATTATGATGTTCGGTATATTCTGTACTACTTGCACAGCAACATGCTATCGTTGATTAAAATTTTAAAGTAAACTGCGGTACGATATACAGCTATGATTTGAGAGAGATGCTAAATCAGATTGAAAAAGTGTCCTGAAACAACTTATTTCCGTGAAACGCAATCGCGTTCATATTTCGCCAACCTTAATGGCCGGCTTATCCAACTACAGTGTTTAGAGTGTTTATTAGTACCTACGTGTCAATGACTTGCAAAAACTTCCAATCAAAAGTTCAAGCTTCAACAATCTTTTTTGAGGACGTGATATTTATTAAGCACCGATTGTTAGATATAAGCAATAAAGTTTGTCATACATCCGCTTTATTAATGCTGAATGGTTTCTTCAAAGATGAGTTTTTCAGCAACGCAAATCCGGGTCTTCTTCAACTGGAGGTGGAGGTGCAGGTATGCTGGACGAAGGCACTGTTGAGATGGCTCTGGATCCCAGTGAGCTGGACATGGTTGAAGTAGGAGCCGGCAATAGGAGTGGAACAGACGCTGCACTCCAGGCCAGATATGACAGTGCTCTGCGGGAGCAACGCGGTGGATCCAAATCAGGCGAAGATTTCAGCGACCTGGTAGCCGAACATGCAGCCAAGCAGAGAGCGAAAAGAAAAGTGCAGCAAGATAAAAGTTCTGCCTCGGCTGGCGGAAGCAAAAAACACAAGGAGTTTAAATTTTGATCATGTGCAATTTTTTCACTTTTTTGTCATATCTCATGCCAAGATTTTGTCTGTGAGTATTTTACAGTTTAGAGAAGTATTGAACTTGAGTTTTCTGTTAACTTTTGAAAGTGTCCCGGTAATACAACATGATGTAACTCAATTTATTCTAAATTTTTTGACAGTAGTTTATGATTTTTAAGAGTAATAAATGCAGTGATTATTATTAATAAACGCAGTGAGTACTCATATATAGGTCTTGATTTTTTTGCGTTTTTTCATGGCAAAAAGATAGAAAAAAAAAGAATTTATTTCTTCAATTGTACAAATATGAAAGATATGCAAACGATATCAATATTAGACATAATTTGTTTATATGTTTAAATGCGGTCTTCACTATCTTGCCAAGTTTTTTCAGTGTATTATTTTTGCATATTTAACGAAAGAATTTTTTAGTGTGTAAGCTATATCGTATATTGCAACGCTTAAGATTTTTTTTTCAATTTTCCAATTTGAATTCAATGTTTTATTCAGCAAATTTGAAATTAGCAATCCAATGGGGGATATGAACAGGGATACCTAGGGGTTAAGAGTTAAGAGTTTGGCCTCCAAATATGAATACCTAAATCTTTTATTTCATGAGATACGACGATTTTTTTGATTTTTTTCAGAAGTGTTCACAAAATCTATCGGTTATCCATCTATTATCTATCTATCTATTTATCTATCTATCTATTATATATTATATATTATGTATTTAAATGCGAGATGTTATATCTCGCCATGTTTAAGCATGTCCAATGTATCATTTTTGCATGTAAGAATTTTTTCACGGTTAATCTAGATCGTATATTACAATGCTTAAGAATTTTTTCAATTTTCTGGTTTGAATTCAGTGTTTTTTCACCAAATTGGAAATGGGGGATTTTGTCAGGGTTCCCTAGGGTGCAAGATTTTGGCTTCCTAAAATGAGTACTTGAATCTTTTGAGTTAACGAGATAAGTCGATTTTTTGTAATTTTTTTCAAACATTTTTTTTTTTTCAGAAAACTTAGATTGAAAACAGTTCACAATAATTTATTTTTTCAACCCTCAAGTTGGTTTGCTATCACGTTATTATAATGTATAATTGAATCAATGTATTATGAATATGTTACTTCTTATGAATCATATGGATATCTTCAATAGAAAAAGAAACTTTTTGTTTAGTAGTTAATGTGACTCGCGTCAATATACTTACTGTGATTTTCGTAAAAAGCATAAGAATGAGAGCGATGCATGACTTCAAAAATAAATTTCGAAAATGAAGATGAAACTAAATCAAGAAAAAAAGAAAAAATCTGACATTTTTATGGGCTAAGTTTCTACCCTATAGAGCTGATCTGATAGCATTTAACCAGCTGTCTAATAGTTTTTTTTCTGAGTTAAACCAAATAAAACCTACATTTTTGGAAAATTGCTGAAAATCAAAATAGTCGATATCTCGAAAACTAGCATCATCTGAGTGGTCATATTCCTTGGCTAAACTCCAATAGGGGTTTGATACAGTCCAACCACTGGGATTGGATTGTTGAAACACGGCAAGGGAAAACTAATTTTCAAATAAAGCGGGTAAAATCAGTATTTCCCAAAATAGTTTTTTCATTTAGTGACCAAAAATGGATACGCTATCAAATTTGCCTTTAAAGTGAATCTTACGCAAAATTTTTTGCTGGGTCAAAAGAAGGTAAAGTATCGAAAAAGTGTTGCACCCGTAAACGAGTAGACCATATTGTATTGTAGGTTTTATGTTAGCAGTATAATAGGTGAATAACATATTTTAGGTACAAAAAGACGCATTTTTGAGACAACTTTGCCTACCTAATTTAGGTCTAAGTTTATCAACTGGATCGGAAAAATTCAGTTAACTGTCAACAATTACTCCAAGATATTTACTTGAGTTTTTTAATGAACAAGACCAAGCTCCTATATGTACAGATAAGTTGCTATAAGCACTTCTATTTTTGCTGACGCTTACAACAAGAGTTTTATCTGTATTTACGTCGAGTGTTTTATAATGCGAGTATGCGTTATCTTTTCAAAAATTTTGCTGCAGCATGTAACAATGCAATAGGCCTGTAATTATTTGGATCTAGTCTGCTTCCATGTTTTTGAAAAAAAAAACGATTACTTTTTTCAGGAATTTGGGAAACTTATTGGTTGCAAAGCTTAGATTTATCAAATAAGGTAGATAAAGGGCTGTGATATAGACGTTTTCTATCAGCAATATATTGCTAATTTTTTCATTTCCCGAGGTATTTTTAGCTTGTTGATTAAGAATTGTATCAAGAACTTCATGGAAGGAGCATTTGAGCAAGAATTTTGAATCTTCAACCTTTTCTCTCGGATTAATCGGTTTGATTTTTTCGTATAAGCAGCAAGTCTTCTTCCTATAGTCGAAAAAATCATTCAACTGATTGGCGATCTCTATACTTTCTCGTATATCTTCGTTTTCTTTTGGGGAAGGAACCTTATTTTCGGGAAATTTTTACCTTCTATTTTATTTATTAGCTTAAAAACCAGGCTTGAGTCTCCAATACATTTGCTAAACTTGTTAACTTTGAAATCACGTTTAGCTGTTCTTATTTTTGTTTCGACCTTCCTTCTTTCTTGAAGAAAATTCTCATTTCATCAGGTTGCCAGAATCAGCTTTCCAAGTGTTGAAAAAAGAGTTTCCCTTGATTATTGAATTTTGAGGCTTTTCTTGTGCGATTGAACATTACTCATGGATTCCTTTAAACAATTTAGCACGGAAAATTCCTTTAAACAATCTAGCACGGAAAATTCAAATTTAAGTTTTAAATGATGCTGAAAGTTTTCCTATTTTGATCATTAGAAAGAAAGGACATGTCGCGAAGTTTTTTGGGTTTAATCGAATTTTTGTTTTCGAGTTTTTCACGCAAAAAACGGCGTAGTGGTCGCAAAGCACTCATCGTTGAGAACTTGAAAATTGGGGTTTTCAAATTATGGAAAACAATGATCAATACATGAAGGATATTTATCATTGACCTAGTTGGTTTTGATTCCACAAGTTCAAATCCGTTAGCTGTAATGGTACTCACATGAAGCTGTGTTAACTGATTGCTTTTTAAACTATCAACGTTGAAATCTCCTGCTCTAATTATCAGAAGTCTGAATTTAGTTAGTTTTTCTAGCTCTTTATCGAGACTTTTGTGAATGTTAGTTTGTTTGTCCTTAGTGGAACGTAGATAACAAGCAGAACTATTGGATTGCCTGAATTTTCAATAAAAGCATATCCTTTGCTAAAACTGGAGTCGATCTGTTTTAGTGATAACGCTATGGAACCTTTACATTTAAGTAGTTCTGAGTTATCTTTATCTATGAGCCAAGTTTCAGTTAAGCATATGACATTAGAAGGAGACTTGAGACTGAATAGAAGTGCTTGCAATGCTTCATGGTATTTTTTAAATCGATTATTAGAAAGAAGGATTGAAAAAGAATTGCATATAAAAGAAGCACCAGCATTTTGATAATTTTGAGCCAGCCGAGCTGAAAGACTTCTCGAAAATACCATTGAAACAAGAATTCACATCACTGATTGAGTAATTGAGGAAATGACGTCAAACAATCCTGTGATTCGATAGGTTTTTCCATCGCTTTTGCAGATAATTATTATCGTCCCCTTTTCTAGTCCAGGTGGATAAAATGCGGTCATCTGATCTCATGATATTGATGATTTTAGTTCTTGGCCTGCTGAGATCTATAAATACTTGTAGATGTTTCAAGTTTTCTCGATCACCTAGGTTTTTTTTCAGGATTTCGTTTTTTGCTAGACGTCTCGTAAAGTGAACAATATTTTGTGTACCTCTTGGCGAGTTTGACTGTAGACGGCGAGCAATCGAAATGTCTTGTTTGCTGATAATGGCTGATGGTTCATTGGCAACAGACATAACTGTCTTTAAGGTAGTTTGCATATTTTCAATTTCGTTGTTTCTTGAAATGTCTATCATTCAATAGATTTTAAGGTTTTCCCTTCGATTGAAAGAATCTAAGAATTCCGCTTCCGATTGGGACTTCAAATTGGCCTTCTCATACTCTAGATCGTTTTTCACAGTTTTAGTCATCTCTTCTTTGAATCCCATTAGTGCCTCTTCGATTAAATTTTTACAAGATATTTCAGTTGTTGCCTGTTTAGCTGATCGATTATTCCAGGGCTCGACTAATGGTTTCCTTTTGTTGACATTGTTTCTATGGCTGGTGAGCTTTCTTCACATGGGCTTAGCACTGCGCATGACCTTTCGTTATCTGGTCTTGAAAACTGAGTTTGATCATGGAATCTCAGGTTTAGCAACCCTTCAGAATCCTTCTAATATTGTGGTGTTCGAATTTTTTATAAGTCATCGTCAATATCTATTTAATAGGCTTATCGCAACAATTAGGCTAACACGGCAAAAGTTTTTTCACGTTCAATGTTGATTTTTCGGGGTTTGGCTTTCGATTTCATTTGATAAAAGGGAAGTTAACTCCACTTTTGATCAGCAAAAGTGTAAAGGTCACGAAAAATGTGATCGACTTCTAATTTTGGAAATGGAAATTAATTATCAGATTTCCCAGCGAAATAAAAATTTTAGCTATTGATCAAGTTTTCTCAATTTGGGTTAATTTTGACAAAAAAGGGTGCATCATAAATTTTCCTAAAAGTTCAAAGAGCTTTAAGGCCATCTAATTTTTTATTCGAAATCAAAAGTTTGACCATTGTCAAAAAACAAGTCTTTTCAGTTTTTTTTTCAGTATCCTTGCGTTCATTACTTTTTTCCAACTGTCAGCTGGCTATGTTTTTGTTTTTCCAGTAAATTTTCTCCATAAAATGTTTTTTATTTTGCGTATTTTACTATGGCTGTCGAATATGCCTGAGCTCTACTTATTCCTCCAGAACCTTTTATTATCACACCATGCCGGAAAAACGACACTAATTTGAAAAAAATTGTGTTGTTTTTTATAAGACTTCGGAACATTCTGTGCTACTTTCACAGTAGCCGGCTATCCTTGTTTAAGTTAATATATTTTTTATTTGGCTCCTTTGAATGATGTGCTCTGAATTTTTAGGTATGCGATGGTTGTGCTCGCGACTAGCAAGCAGTATCAATTCGTAACATAGACTTAATTTTATAAACAAATTGTCTAACAAAATGGTCACAGAATAATTTTCTCAAATCTGCATTTACGTCAACCAATAGACATAAATTAGGCATGTCTACAGTTCAAACTCCCGTTCTCTTCAAAATTTGTTTTTCTTAATGGTTTTTAAGAATAATGAATAGGTAATGAATCTTGTATAGGTCTTGGTGACTTTATTTTGTTTTTCTTTCAGGAAAAACTCCTTAAATGCTCTAATAACTACAGATGTGCATTCGTACATGTTAAGGCATTTATATGGTATATATGCTCAGGGGCTCATTTATATGGTATATATGCATGGTGTATATGCTCAGGTATATATGCTCAGGGGCGGATCTAGGTACATGTTCGTACTTCTAGTTTTGAAATTGGGTTTTAGTTTTCAGATTTCCCAGTGGAATTAAAAATTTACCTTTTGATCCAGTTTTCTGAAATTGGGTTAATTTTGTCAATAAAGTGTCAATCATAATTTTTTTTGAAACTCAAATAACTTTAAAGCCAGCCATTAACTTCGAAATTTGAGACTCTCAGAAAAAACAAGTCATATTTTTGTTTACTAGCGTTCGTTGGCTCTTTTTAACGCTCTCTTCGCTTGGTATTCTGTTTTCTTGCGTTCATCACTTTTTCCAGCTGTCAATTGGCTACGTTTCTTTTCTCTAAACGTTATTTTTTTCAGATATGGTTATTTCGAGAGACCATGTTGTCGCTGCCAAAATCAGAAAACAGCAAAAACGAAAACACCGGAGATGCAATGAAAAACAGAAAGAGGAGGCGAACAAAAACGGAGAGTCTGATCACCATAAAATTGAAGAAGATTCGAATTGTTCTAAAATAGCTGAAGAAATTCCAGCCAAAAAACTCAAGAGCAAAATTGTGGACGAAGAACCGAGTTCTCCTGAAATAGCTGAAGAAATTGAAACTGGAAAACACAAGAGCAAAAATGCTGAGGTAGCATCAAATTCTTCATTAGTAGCAAAAACTATCAAGAGCCGAACATCTTATCTCCTCAAACTTGATGAAGAATCAAATTCTTCTGAAGTTTCAGAAACTACCAAAACCACAAAATCCGAGCGCACCGAAATTGAAAAGCCGACTTCAAAAGAAGATGAAACGCACAGTATGGATGAGCGGCGAAAGGAATTGTTAATTGAGGCACCTTGTCAGGGAAAATGGGTGAATCTAGCCATCAGCCAAAAAGATGCAACGAAAGTCCGCTTTCGTCAAAAGATAGTTGACAACGTGACCTATAAATATACAATGCCTCGATATCTCTCTAGCAGAAGTTGGGAGCTGTACACTGAACGTGAAGAAATGTACTGCATAGTTTGGAATGTAAAAATAAAGAGTGGAAATAAGGTTATTGTAACTGTCGGTGATGCAGGAATTTGGGTAAAAAATTTTGGTGCACAAGTTTCGACAGATATCGGAAATCTTAAAAAGCCTAAAGCGGTTGTAGCGGCGCACAATTTAGAATCAGGCCAAATTGTTTTGGACTTTTTTGGCACACAGCAAACTGAAACAGTGATCGGATTATCTGAAAACGTGACAGGATTCTGGGTTCCAATTGAGTTAGGCAAAGAACAGAAGTTTGAATGTTTTTTGGACGTTGAGCAACTCAAAGAAATGATTAGCGACTCAAAACTGGATCAAAACGAGGCTAGCAATCGAAAAGAGAGAGAAGAACCTTTGAGAATCGGTGATTTTGTGCGCGCACAGAAAGCCATCCATGGAGTTACAATAAGGAATCACCCTGATTTAACTGCCATGATTTTGAATTGGGAATCAGACGATCATTCGATATTTGAGACAATCAAATGTCGAGTATGGAATATCACTCCTAATGGTGGTGTTATTTTGACTTGTAAGCCTCACTTCATGGATCCCAAAATCGAGCCGAAAAGTTTAGAGTCTTATAATCCTTTTGATCGTTATTCCGGAATTGTTAGTTTTGTTGATAATGTAAATGATTATTACGTACTGGATAGTTTTGGCGTTAGAGCAAAGTTGCCTGGTAGTGCCATACCTCACGATTTCTTTGATGTCAACGATATCAACGAAGCGGTGATCGAATGCAGCGTTGTGATTAGTGAGCGAGACTGTCTTGTAGTTGGCCTTTTGACAGATAAATCAGAAAACGAACTAGATTCTGATAATTCAGCTGAAAAATTGGCCGAGTGTGTGTTCAAGACAAGTGAGCTAGAGCTTGAGTTTGTGTGCAAGGAAGATGATTGCTGGCTTGCGAAAACACCGGACGGTAAAAAGTACAGTTTGAATCGCAAACATTTGCATGACTGGAAGTGGCTTGCAGATGTTCAGTTTCATTTCAGCAAGCCAGGTTTCAAAATCAAAACACGGGTAGCCGATATCTCTGAACCGTTACTAGAAAGCTCGTCAGCTTTTGAAGGTGAAATAAACCATGCTAGTTTGAAGCAAAGTCTGACCTCGGAATCGGTCAATCATTGGACGTTGTCGGAAGGCTCCAAGTTCTCAGGATTTGTAGTTCGTAAAACAGAGAAGGGTTTGTTTGTTAAAAGTACTGTAGGCGACCATGTTTTTCTGCCATACGACTTGCAAGCAGATAAAAGATTCACTCGGAACTTAGAGCAGCACTCAACTGTAAAAGGAACTATTTTGACCTCGGATTCAGATAGTAAAAGACACGTCGGAGTATGTTCTCTCGATGCTTGCAAACTTGACAGAGAAAAATTTCTACAAAAGATGAAATCGATGAAAGAAGGAATCGAATTAATACGCAATTTTTTTCTAGGAAGCATGCATCAGGCAGAGATTATCACGGTTGTCGATGGAGCCGTAACTGCTAAAATTGGCGAGGTTCAGGCATTGGTTCCAAAGTGCGTCGCAAGTTTCAAAAGAGGTGAAAGACCGGAAATGTTGGTGGGAACGCAGTTAGAAGCAATTGTAGTTGGATATAGATACGGAAAAGACGTTGAGGGTTTAGTTGTTGCGCCGGCTTGCGACCAAAAGGAGACAAATTTGATTGAAAACCAAACCTATAAAGTCACTATAGTTTACTGGTGTTCTGATTTTTCAATTGGTTTGCCGGAAAATGTTAACCAGATAGTAATGCTTAAATACAGTCCTGAATATGAAGCGGTTCTGGTGAGAATAGTTAATAGATCTCCGTTTGAGGAAATTTTTATCGGTGAAATAGTCGAACGTATAGACAGAGAAGACGTCCTACCAAGATCACTTATTAGCCAATCAGAATGCGAGAGGATGACAGGTACTCAAGATCTTTCGGAATCATTTAACAACGATGCAGAGTTCAACAACATAAGACCAATTGAAGCTGGAATTATCGATGTTAGTATATTCTATTTGAGATTGCGCCTTAATGATGGATCAATTGGCAAAATGTTTATGGGTCATTATGAAATTGAAGGTGATAAGAACTGGGAAGGTCAGAAATGGATGTTTGCGGAGAACTTTGTGGGCAAAAACATTGACGTGGTAGTATTGGCTAGAGCAGGCGGCCAGAAGTTATTACATTCCTTCCCAACGACAAGAGAAGGTCTGAAAGATATGTACCGTTTGACAACGAATGAGGATGATGAAATCTACAGAACAAATCTAAGCAACTGTATTTTGCCGGAAGAACTGCCCTACCTCAAAAGTAAACTTGGATCGGATGGAATGGGCAAAATTCATGGTTACGTCCAGAAAAATAACAAGCGTTTCATTACTTTTCAAATAACGCCATTCGTAGCTATCGAAATCCCATATGAATATATTTGGGAGGACGGTTCGAGGGCCAGGTTACAGAAAGGTTACTGCATGCCTCTCTGTTACAAAATAAAAGACTGTGAATCTGCGAGCATATGCGTAGGCTATGCCCGAACATTTTCACTAGGTGACTTAGAAGAAGGCATGACTATTTTATTGCAAAGACAGGACGAAAACAAAGTGGTGTATGGATGCTTAAACGCCGAGTGCAAATGTATGGAAGGCGTGGAAGATGAAGTGTCTCAAATTCCAGTGAAGGATTATTTCTACGCTGAGATTGTAAACATTGGAAGAGAAGATAATGAAGCTTGTATCTACTACCGTCCTCAGCCCAACTCAAATTTTCCGCCAGATAATTTCAAACTTCGCCAACAAAATTCTCAACGAATTGCATTAAAGCGACACATCAAAGCTGCTTCTAAAAGAAATGACTCAATGCGCCTCTCGATTGAAAACGATTGGGCCAACAAGTTTAAAACTCAAGCAAAACAAACTGATATTCGAGAAAACACTGTACAAAAAGAAGCGATCGACAGCTCGAGGATTGATAAAGTTGGAGAACTTTCAGAAAATAATTGTCTCAATTTTACCTGGAGTGATGACGAGGAATCTTATTATAAAGCTATAAATGAAAAGTCGGTAGCTAATTCGATTCCTTATACTAAGATAGCCAAAAAAGCAAAACAGACCGAGCAAATCGAAGATATCTCAAAATCTGAACAAGAAGAAAAAGAAGTAGAAGAAAAAGAAGAAGAAAAAGAAAAAGTAGAAAAGGAAGAAGCGAAAGTTGAAACAAATGTTGATTCTCTTCAAACCTCAAAGAAAACAGCTTTAGACGTTGACAAATCAGTTGTCAGTAAACTCGAATTAGGTGTCAAGGTTGAGTCTGATAATGTAAAACATTGGCTTAACATCATCGATTATTACGTTCAATTGTCCGACATAGGTAACGTGCGCTCAATATGTCGAAGAGGAATCGCAGCTTTGGACGATTTGAAATACGATGAAAAACTCCTCATTTGGACCAGACTTCTAAAAGCGGAAGTAAATTTAGGTTCTTCAGAAAGTGTCCAGGAAACATTCACCTTGGCTACTAATAGAAACAATCCATTGAAAACGCATTTCGTAATGGCCGATATATGGGAGGAAAATTCAAATTTTTCCAAAGCAGCTGAGACTTATAAATTAGCGATCAAAAAATTCAAAACCAAGAAGCAAACTTGGATTAAGTATCTCGAATTTCTATTTCGAAATAAGAAATTCAAGGACGGCGCTGATTTAATCTCAGCAAGTTTCCCTTCTTTGACAAATCAAGAACACGTTGACATAATTTTGAAGAAAGCTGAACTTGAGTTTAAATACGGCGAAAAAGAAAGAGGGAAAACGAACTTAGAACATTTGTTAAGCACTTACCCGAAACGAACAGATGTTTGGTCCATTTACTTGGATCTCTTGATCGCGGCTGGTGATTACGACGATGTGCGATCTGTGTTTTCGCGTATTTTGGCGCTTAATTTGCGCTTGTATAAGTTGAAACCATTATTCAAGAACTACTTGCGTTTTGAGCGCAATTATGGGTCGGAAGAATCGTATGAAAAGTGGAAAAATGAATTTGACTCCAGATTCATAAAAACTGAAGGTTGATTGTCGGATGATGATTTGTTATTGTTCTGATACAATGTAAATATTCAATCAACATTTTTTCCAAAGCTTTAAAATAGAAGTCGCAGAAAACTAAGATCAATGTGAGATTAAATGTGATCAATTTAAGGCCATATATCCACGAGGGAAAGGACCCACACACGAGCTGTACAGCTCATCATCATGTAGAACCGCTGTTGTTCCCCTGTTTAAGAATTACATGCAATTTTTTGTTATTTTTCTGGGCTGGGTAATGTTGCCAATAGGGAACCAAAGGAGATTCTGTAGCGGATTTAACACGAACTTCACTCGTCGGTAAGCATTGGCTGTTTGGTCCATAAGCTTCAAGCTACTTATTTCGAGTAACAGACACCCCTAAAAAATGCATATTTTGGTCAAAAAAATGAAGACGCTTTTTGTTAATCTATTATCTATTATATATTTAAATGCGGGCTTCACTATCTCGCCATGTTTATGCTTTTTCAACGTATTATTTTTGCATGTTTAAGCTCTATCGTATATTGCAATGGTTAAGAATTTTTTTTCGATTTTCCAATTTGATTTTAGTAATTATTTTACCGAGTTTAAAATAAGCAGCCCAATATCGAATTAGGGGTTGCAAATTTGGCCTCCAATTTTGAATGCCCGTCTATTATATATTCAAATGCGGGCTTCACTATCTCGCCATGTTTATGCTTTTTCAACGTATTATTTTTGCATGTTTAAGCTATATCGTATATTGCAATGGTTAAGAACTTTTTTTTCGATTTTCCAATTTGATTTTAGTAATTAATTTACCGAGTTTAAATTAAGCAGCCCAATATCGAATTAAGGGGTTACGAATTTGGCCTCCAATTTTGAATGCCCGAATCATTTTAGTTAACGAGATAAGACGATTTTTGAGGTTTTCAAAAATTTAAAAAAAAATTAATTTACAAAACTTGAAGTTCCCAACCCTGTAGTTGGGTGCTGTCCGATTACTCTAAGGAGTTACAAATCTTGCCTCCAAATGTGACTGCTCAATTCTTTGTAGTTTTTGAGATATGACGTTTTTTGTGATTTTTCAGAAATTTTTCAGAAAACTTAATTTTTTTTTGTTTTTCTTGAAAATCTGAAATTCCCAATTCTGTTGTTGGGTGCTGTCAGAGTACTATCAAGGATCGCGAATCTTGCCTCCAAATATGACTGCTCAAATCCTTGTAGTTTTTATGACGTTTTTTTCGTGATTTCAAAAAGTTTTCAGAAAACTTGTATTAATTGTTTTCGCAAATTCTGAAATTCCCAATCCTGTAGTTGGGTCCTGTCAGAGTAATCTCAAAGATTGCGAACCTTGCCTCCAAATATGACTGCTCAATTCTTTGTAGTTTTCGAGATTTGACGTTTTTTGGGATTTTTTCAAAAAATTTTCATAAAACTTACACTAATTTTTTTCAAAATTTGAAATTCCCATTCCTGTAGTTGGGTCCTGTCAGAGTAATCTCAAAGATTGCGAATCTTGTCAACAAATATGACTGCTCAATTCTTTGTAGTTTTCGAGATATGACGTTTTTTGTGATTTTTTAAAAAGTTTTCAGAAAACTTAAATTATTATTGGTTTTTAAAAATCTGAAATTCCCAACCCTGTAGTTAGATCCTGCCAGAGTACTCTCAAAGATTGCGAATCTTGCCACCAATTATGACTGCGCAATTTTTTGTAGTTTTCGAGATATGACGTTTTTTGTGATTTTTTCAAAAGGTTTCAGAAAACTTAAATTATTATTGGTTTTTAAAAATCTGAAATTCCCAACCCTGTAGTTAGGTCCTGTCAGAGTACTCTCAAAGATTGCGAATCTTGCCTCCAAGTATGACTGCTCAATTCTTTGTAGTTTTCGAGATGTGACGTTTTTTGTGATTTTTTCAAACGTTTTCAGAAAATTTAAATTATTATTTTTTTTTAAAAATCTGAAATTCCCAACCCTGTAGTTAGATCCTGCCAGAGTACTCTCAAAGATTGCGAATCTTGCCACCAAATATGACTGCTCAATTCTTTCCAAAATTTTCAAAGTTTAAATTAATTATTTTTCAAAATTTGAAATTCCATCCGCTATAGTTCGGCGTTGTCAGGGTACTCTAAAGAGTTGCAAATCTTGCCACTTGCGACTGTTAAACGCGACTGCTCTAATGCTTTTAGTGTCCGAGATGTGACGTTTTTTGTTTTTTTTTCAAAGTTTCTCAAAGAACTTATCAACAAAGAAGTTCAAAAAATTTGAAACCACCAACTTGATGAAGATACAACCTTATTGTCAGCGTACACCCAGGCGTCTCAAATCTTGCCTCTTAAAATGAATTCTCAAATCCTTTTATTTCCGAGATAAGACGTTTTTTCAATTATTTTTTCGGGAAACTTAGGTTTAAAAAAAATTCACAAAATTTTGGATTCCTAACCCTATAGTAGGGTGCTCTCAGGGACTCTCAGTGGTTGCAAATCTGGCCTCCAAATTTCTCCAGAGGTCCATTAAGTTTTCGAGATGATGCTTTTAAAATGGCAAGTAAAAAAATTTAAGTTTGAAATTACCAACCCTGTAATTGGGTGCAGTCAGAGTACACTAAAAGTTTGCAGATGATGTTGTTTCCAATATATGCGTTTTTTTATGAGTTGTCGAAAAATCTCGAAGCACCGAAGGTGCGTTAAACGCTAGTAATAATTATTTGCCTGTGAAGTAGTTTTTGTCAAAACATAGGTTTTTTATTATGTATAAAGAACTTGTAAAATCTTCAGTGTGACCCAAAGTTTAGTCAAATAGTTGTGTATTATCTACCTAGATTCTGTCAATCCAGAGCAAAATTTCTCGATTTTGAGACAACTTGATTTGCGGAATCCGAACTACGACGAATACGGCTTAAATATGATACCATTTTCGAATCGTTACGAGCTTTCTTTGGGGCAATCAATAGTGGGCCGAAAAAACAGGCTACTCTATACTCAATATAACTTATCAGTCACTTTTAGTGACACGCTCAGAACAAAATCAAGGCTTTTTGCTTTGGTTTTGACAGGGGTGGATCTAGGATTTTCTCGAGGAGAGAGGGGTCTATTTAAAAAAAATCGAAAAAAATTTATCGGCTTTTTTTAGGTCGCTCAAATCAATTTTGCGTGCGCTCTCAGAACACTCACTGAGACCATACTTTGACAAATTTTTGTGCGCGTCAGGCAATAGTTTGAAAAAACGCTAAAAAGTCGAAAAAAACAGACACCCCTAAAAAATGCATGTTTTGATCAAAAAAATGACGCTTTTTTGGGTGCGCGCTCCCCTTCAAAATTAATATTGAATGTTTGTTGGGTTGGCCCGCCGAAAATAAATCATACAAAATAATACCAAAGGGGGTATCCTCTGCTTGGTGAGGGGGTTGAATCTCTGAGGAGAGGAGGCATCCGTCCCTGGATTTTGCTCGGATGAATAATAAAAAGATAGCAATATATTTTATTTTTCTGTTCTTAATTTTTCTGAATTTTTGGTATTAGACAAATTGTTCTACAGACCGTGTTTTATCAGAGCATATCGAAAATAATCAAGTTTTATTCAGGATCTTAATATAATTTTTATAAATTTTCAATTTTTTGTCAGGTCGTGTTGTGATAAAATTAGTTCAAAAATAGTTATTTTGTTGAATGCTAAAGCTTCTGTTGTAGTCCTAAACTTTTATTTAAACACGATGTCCCTTAACGTAGAAGTTTCGAATATGTGGTCGTTGTTGTTTTCAAGTTGACTGCTGAAAGACTGTCGGCTTAGTTGTCACCTCACGGATTTTTCTTGTGCTGCAAGTAATTTTCATTGTCGTCGCAAATGCATGTGTTGTTCATTGTAATTTCAGAAGGAACTTAAAACTTAAAAGACTTTGTATAAAATCGTTTTTTGTTTTCGGTTTTACTTGTGTTTGATCAAAGATTGTCGGCTTTAAATTCTCTTGCTAACTTTTGTTCCGTTGCGTTGCCATATCAAGAATTTTATTTTGCTGTAAACAAATTTTATTCGAGTTGCAAGTGCAAGTGTTGTTCATAGTAGTTTCAGGAGTGACTGAAAACTTAATAGGTTTTTAAAAATTCGTTTTTTGCTCAAATTGTGTCTGTCGGCTTTGTATCCTCTTCATAAGTTTTGTTCCTTATATAATATTTAAATGTCTTGCTTTTTGCGTAGAATGAAAATCTATCGATACATACGAAAAATTAATTTTTGCTAGAATTAGTTTTTTCCAACTGCTTCTCTTGTTTTTTTTTAAATTTTTGTGTTGTACCGCAAGTGATGCGAAGCTCCGCTTTGCCTCTTTGTCAAAAATCTGTCTATCATAAATTGTTTTCGAAATTCAAAGAGCTTTGAATCTTTTCCAACTGTGTTTCATCATCATCAATATCAAACTCGTCGGGTTTTTTATCCACGTCTTTATCCCAAAGAATTCTAGTTGCTTTTCTTTGGATAATAGGAGTATTCGGTGCTGATGAGGGATGATAATGATGTTTGAACAGAAATTTTTTTCACAGTTTTCCTGTAGCTGATTTCATTTGTATCAATTCACAAAAAAATCGGTACTTTTACACTCAATACTTTTCACAATTTAACACACTTATTAAGTCATTTGATCTTGTTCACTCCTAATTGATTTGTTCAATTTGAGTTGCTAAATGTTGAGCAAACTACGCTCTCCAATATCAAAAGTGCCAATGGTGCGAAGTAACTTGAACGACTTTAAGCATCGAACGGGGGTTTTAGTTTTAAGGTTTCCCAGCTGAATAAAAAGTTATCTATTGATCCAGTTTTCTTAAATTGGGTTAGTTTTTATCAAGAAGTCGTCAATCATAAGATTTTAAGCTGATATTGTTGTCTTAATACTCAAATTGAGAATAAGATCCATAAAATAGTAGTAGCTTACGGTAATTTTGATGATAGCCAAACAGTTTTTGAAAGCATAATTTGCTTAAAACTTGATTCAAAATGGTGCATAAATGTTAGTCCTGCGTTTTACAAGTTCGTTTGGAGCTTGAAGTTCGGAAAATGGCTTGTTCGTGTCATGTCTTTGAAATTGTTTCGATATTCATGCTGGTGCTTTTATCTTTTCGGGTCATGTTTGAATTGTTTAAAGTGAAGTCGGTCTGAAGTGAAGTTGATAAATACTTATGTTAAACTTTAGCATGGATTTAATCTAATCATTGAAATGAATACTAAATACGCTTCTCAGCGGAAGTACAGAATCAATTTATAATGTCAATGTAGCATATCAATGAATCAATGGCTTTGACCGGTTAGTTGAAATTTGATGCTCATATCTGACATCGTATTACTTAAATTTTTATCGTCTTAGATAGTGTTTTGCTATTGTTTTTCTTACCTACCAGCTAAATTCAACGTTTTTTATCAACAACTTCTGGTGCGTTAATTTAAATAAAAGCAAGATAATGCTTGTTTTGGCTATTGTTTTAGTACGAAAAATTTTATTCGAGTTTTGGAAAATTTTTTGGCTTCAACTTTTTCTTCAGCAAAAGCACAATATTTGCACTACCTTATTAGCACTACCATTATTTGCACTACCAGCTACTAAAAGTGGTGAAAAACTTGGTCTTCCGGCGTGTTAATTTTTTTTTAAAATTTTTTATCCCAAAGCAGGTGCCGCAATAAATCATCAAACAAATGACAAAGATTAAATTTAAAAAATGAGATTCATTTTTTTTTGTTCCGACCGCTCTTGTTATACGCAAAATAAGGAACCACAAGAAAAATTCGTGCGAAGTTGATTGTTTATACAATGCTTTCAATTTATTCAACAAGGCTTCTTAGCTGCAGTGAAAAATGGAAAGTTTACTTGGCTGTCGAGAAGAAAAAACGTGGCCTATTTTTTGCCTTTTCGATTTTATTGATTGCCCATTTGCAGTTCATGGATATCAATAAATGTAAAAAATGCTTGGAAGATCCTATTGAAACAGAAAGGTCATTCCATTCAACGGGAATTTATTCCTGGACTTGCTTTTTGTACCCACCCTCTGAAAAAACGACCAAACAAATGAGATAATTGTAAAAATATGTAAAAGATTTTTTTTTCACGCCAAACTAGTAAAAATTTTTGTGCTTAATTTGATTATCAGTTCAGAAATGTGAGAAAACCAATTTAAAAAGTCAATTGAAAGTCGAACATTTTATCAACCTGTTTACGCTTGCGATTAGCAAGCGTTATCAAAATGAAATTTAGACTTTTTTGGCCTGGAGGTTACGAATATGCCTTATACGGCAAGGGTCTTGGGTTCAATCTGAACAGGACCTGTTTTTTTTTTCAAACTGGAAATATTTTGTCTGCTTATCTGTTGTCGGTTTAGTTGTCACATCTTTGAATCGTTTTTTTGCTGCGGGCATTTTTCTTTAATGTTGCTTTTATTGTTTGACTTACTCATACAAAATGTGTAATTTTACTCACCTTGACTTCGTATTTCCTTCTTTGTTTTTTTATTCGCTACAAAGAATTCCTCGGCCCAAATTATATCGGCCTATTGTTTGTCGACTTAATGACCTAATTTTGGGTCGTATCAAGGGAAACACAATTTTAACACTCCCCTCCGCACTTTTCAACTTGATTGTATGTTTACCAATCGGTTTATTGAAACTGCTTTTGTCAGTTATAGAAACTTGTTTCCAAATTCATCGGATAAATTTTAGTTTTTCTCAGAAAATTAACAATTTTCAAAAAGAGGTATCATTTGAAATCCTGTCTACTCCCCTCTGAGCCTGCATACTTCCCTAGAGTCTCTTTTAACTTCACCCTTTTGTCTACAGCTTTCGAAAAAGTCTGTGGGGGAAAATTTTGATTTTTTTCATTTTCTCGAAAGCTACCGCTCTCAAATTTCACTGACAAAACGTTTTCGAAAAGCTCCCTGTATATGCGTCTACGCCCAATTTTTCTACACATAAGTTATGGTCCTCGGAATTTTCAAATTTTTGATCTTTGACCGCTTTGTGGTTCTTTTGACTTTGTTGTTTCTGAATTACGCAAAATGTTTTGGGTTCCCTGAATTCTGTTCTGAACTCCGCAAATTTTCTGAACCCCGCAATTGTCTTCTGGAGCAATTTTCAGCGATACCGCGTTTTAGCTATTTGCTTGTGGACGCAAGAATATCAAACAAAAATATCCGTGCTTCCGGATTGAACGTAGTGAAAACTCTTTTATAGGTCTTGCTGATTTTTTTGTTGGTTTTTTTTCAGGAAAAAGTCTAAAATTTGTTCAGGCTGAAATTTACTTTTTCGCGGATTGATGTCTGATTTATTTTTAAGTTCAGCTCATTTCTGTTTTTAAAAGGAAGGCAAACTCCACTATCGAACAGCAAAAGTGTAAAGGTCACGAAAAACGTGATCAAATTCTGATTTCGAAAATGGAAATTAATTATCAGATTTCCCAGCGAAATAAAAGTTTCACCTTTTGATTCAGTTTTCTCAAATTGGGTTTTTTTAAACAAAAAAGTGTATGTCGTAAATTGTTCTACAAATTCAAAGAGCTTTAAGGCGATCTATTTTTTTCTTTGATATTGAAAAGTTTTTTGGAAAACCAGTCCTGTTTTTTTTCAGTTTCCTTGCGTTCATTTCTTTTCCAGCTGTCAGTTGCCTATGTTCCGTTCAGATTAATTTAATCGCACTCATTGGTACCTGGTATTTTCTATAAGAGCTTGCGTATTAGAAGAGTATTAGAACATTTCATATCAATACCACGCAACATATTCTAGAGGGCAGTTGTTCAAATCTTGTAGGTGGCTAATTCATGTTCTTTTTCAGGGCAGACCCATTTTTCTTTGACGAACCACTTTGTAGTTGCTTAAATGTTCAATCCTTTTATTGCTTTGTGTTTTAGTTTCAATCAAAGAATTCGATATTTTGTCTTCTCATTAAAATGTCATTAACTTTATGTATGTCGTTACAGTTGACTCATGTCCCAAAATGGACTTCTCTCTTCCCCACCTCCTTCTGATATCACACCAGCTATGACTCACCAGCAGGGGGACCATAAAAGGAATCAGGCGGTAGTCGTATTGGGAGCACAGTGGGGGGATGAGGGGAAGGGGAAATTGATTGACCTCTTGGCCGACCAGTTCGATGTCGTATGCAGGTGAGCAGCGATGAAGTTTTGGTTTGCTAAGGATCAAAAAGTCCAGGCTCTTTAAGAAACATAAGATAGTATTGAAGTAGTTTGTTAGAATCAGATAATACAGCAATGTTATCAGAGACAAAATTTCCGAATATAACAATTTTTCAAATGCATGTTGCCGTTTTTTATAATTTGAAAGTGATCGTCGATCTCTGTTTAACGTATTGGTGTAGATGTCAGGGTGGGAATAATGCAGGCCATACAGTTGTGGCCAAGGGAGTGGAGTATGACTTCCACCTGCTGCCCAGTGGCATCATCCAGCCCAACACATACAACATACTCGGAAACGGAGTTGTCATACATCTTCCGGGTAGACAACACAACCGTCATAATAATCACTTCACTATTCTACATTTAAAACAAAGTTTTTGGTCAGTTTACAATTCAAGGATATGTTTTATAACAAAGAACAAATATAAATGTTTTAAGCCTATTTGTAAGAATTTTCTGTCTTTTAGTGTATATCTTAGGGTATAAAATTTGAAAAATAGTATGAAAAATAGAAATGAACTACTTTGCAGGTCTGTTCAGCGAGATCAACAACAACATCACGAATGAGGACAAAGTGAAGCTGATGGACAGGTGGGAGGAGCGACTCCTCATATCCACCAGGGCACATCTAGTGTTCGATGTACACCAGAGAGCAGACGGACTCTACGAGGCATTCCGCAAACTAGACAAAAAAGGGGGCGGAAGTCTGGGAACCACACGAAGAGGTAATTCACATAGCGGCAATACTGTGCATGCTGTCTAAAGATACGGCAAAAGTTCCGAAATACTTCAAAAGTTTTCCTTCAACTCGGTCTTTGAATATCACAATAAAGTCAGGGTCGGTCAAAAAGTTTTTCTTTTAGTAATAAACATATCAGTTTTCATCATATAAACACTGGTTACACTGGATAAACACTGGTTATTCTTGTGGGAATTTTACCTAATTCTCCGAGTCATTCAAATGAAAAGTAACTGGCGTTAAAAAACAACAAATTTGCTTGGTTGCCAAAATTATTTTGTGATGTTTTGGCGATTACCAGGTATCGGTCCCGCATACTCGACTAAAGCACTTCGACTGGGAGTACGAGTGTGTGACCTCATTGCGGATGACTTCTCCAAATTCGAAGGCAAGTTTCGACTCATTGTGAACTACTACACACAGTTGTTCGAAGAGATAGCCCAGGAGTACACCGAAGAAAAGATTCAACAGGAACTGAAAAGGTCAGTTTGAACACCAGTTTTTAAGTGTTGTTTTTTAGAAGTTAAACTACGCTTCTTGTGAACCAAATTTGTTGGTTTTTTTAAATGTTATTTACAATCAATTGTCATAGTTTTTTTTTTAGCTAAATCGAATTTAGCTAAAAAACAAGAATGAAAAGAAAAAAATGATCGGAAGCCATATTGATACTAGCCTATGCCTAATGATTGACGAAGGTATCCACGTAGAAAGGAGATGACGGAATGTCGAAAAATAGATATCACCGAACCTGATAAAACTGACATTCATGGTCCAGCTATTACTGTTCTAGTTACGATTCTTCATAGAAAAATCGTTGTTTCTGTCATCTTATCTTCTTGTCAACTTTATTCTTGTCGGAAAAGTAACTTGAAGAAAGTCTTTTTTAGGTACCAGGATTTCAAAGGAAAGCTAGAGAGATTGTCCTGTGACGTGATTCCCTTTATGCACGAGAAGCTGTCTTCCAACAAAAAGATACTCATCGAGGGGGCGAACGCACTTTTCCTCGACATCGATTTCGGTATGTTTGATCAATTTGGTCGCATCACTCTTATTTGAAATTTAATTCGAAATCTTTTGGGTTGCTCAAAAAGTGCTCAAATGGGTTAATGTTTTGTATTGTATCGAAACAAGATAGCTGAGCGGGGATCGGTGCGTTGTCATATGTCAATTAATATGATCATTTAAAAGAATGCAACTTTACTTTCTCGCTTTTTCAACTTTTGCTATTTGCAATTTTGATCACCGAAAATTAGTGAAATTTTAATTCCACTAACAAACTAATGTTTTAGGTTAATTTGTTTATCGTGAATGAACAAATGAACATGTAATTAAAATCATTATCGTTTGCGAATAGGCACACATACTTATCGCTGCGACCCCTAGCTGAGTGGGCACAATTTATTATTAAGCGTTATCAAATCGGAACACGGGTTTTTTCAGGTTAAAAAATTGTCCAACAGAATTACTGAGTCATTCGGAATCATTTTTGTGATATACCTGAGAACAGACATTTAGAGCATATTGGAATTTTCAATGCCCGCTCTATTGTAAATAGGTTTTTTATATTGGTTGTAATGTTACCAACTCTCGGTTTAATATGATTTCGGTTTCTTTTTTGCTCTAAAGGTTTCGATTTATTTTATATCGGCTTAGTTGGCTCTATAGCGTCGTTTAATAAGCGAAAATGTTCCTATACGCATGCATTTGGGAGTTTCTAATAAAGTTTTGTTTGTCTTATTGGGTGACTGCCCAAGTATTGTCGGCATTGTTACCAATTTGTAAGGATTGCTCCAATAAAATTTTACTGTGGCATTTATATCATCTTGAATGCTTTTTTTTCAAATTGAAGTTAAGTAAACGCAATTAGAGACATCTATTTAGTTAGATATAGTTATTTTGACTTTCGTTTATTTTCTGTTGTTTAATTTGGCATGCTATGTTTGATATATATAGCCAGTGAGACAATTTGCTTTGAATGTCAAGTTTTCGTGTCCCACAAAATAAGTTACGCAAAACACAAAAAAAAATTAAAAAAGAAAATTAATAAGTTCTAATTTATAGCATTTTTATACAGCATGATGATTTTTCGGAAAAATGCATTTTTGATTTACCCTTGCGATAAGCAAGGATATTACAATCGGGTGCTTGGCTTTTTTCCCGTTCTTAATTTTGTCACAGGACTCATTGTACGCCTGATGACCTTGGTTCATAATCAATTCAAATTTTGTAGTGTCTCTTGCATACTTAGCTTGGTGGTAACGAAAACGCCTGGGAAGTCAAAGTTCATGGGGTTCAAATCTAACCACGACCAGTTTTTTTTTCAAACGGTAAATATTCCGGTTCAAAAAAAATCGGTCCATTTGTCTGCTTATGTTTCGTCGGCTTAGTTTCCACATCTAACAATCGTTTATTTTAGCTGTAAACGACTTTCACTGCAGTTGCTTTAAGCATTTAAAAAATTCAGCTGAATCGAAATTTACTTTTCATAATGGTTGTAATTTTAACAGCTCGATTTGTTAGATTTTCATTTTTTTAAATTTTGTCTTTTTTATCGGCTTAATAATTTTCGGGTCAACTAATATTGACTTAGTGGCATCTTTTTGCGTCGTTCAACCGAAAAAAGATTTAATGCGCATGTGTGTGCTCTGAGGGGAACACGCAAAATCAGGTACCACGCTAAATCATCGGAAGGGGCCGAGTAATATATCATACCAAAGCCCTTTCAGTTGTGATTCGAAAGACATTGAAATATTTCAAACAGATTTATTGATATTGCCAAAGCCCGTTTGAAACTTTTGATTCTATACTAATTTCGACCGATGAAGTGAGCGAGCAAGCTTATTTTGTTTTTCAAACAGAAGGAGTTACCGCAAATAATCATCGCAGTGGTTGGTGTGATATATCATATAAAAAGTTCTGTCAGTCGTGATTTGAAAAAAATTGAAAAATTTTCAAAAATTGTCAGTGACGAAAAAATCATGTTTGGAAAATTTGAGTTTTTGTCTAATTTCGAGCGAGTGGAGTGATTGATATAAGTTCATTTTTACACGAGCGAATAGTTATCCTAAACTATTCTACGGTTATACCCCGACTATTTTTTTTCTAACTTTTGGGGCACCTTTACGGTTTATTGGTAGCATTTCCTTTGATATTCGAATAAATTAACTTGACTTTCGACATTTGAATATAATAACTTGACTAGTTGACATTTTAAATTCATTAAAGAACTGAAAAAAGCTATTTGTTTCAAACAACCTAACAATAATAACTCGATTTCAGAAATTTTCTAACTCAATACATCTCGCAATTTTTTGAAATGCCTAATTTATGCATAATGTGGTTTTATGCTTTCCAATTTGTTATTTGCAAAATCAGTGTGGATGCCTTCAGTTTGTTATATTCCAAACTATAAGTCGCAAAATTCTGTCTATTTGTTTTTGGCGCCACTTTTGCTGCATCGTATTGCCAATTTGTTAGCATATGTAGCTGCTTTGCGTGTGACTAGTGTTTGCCGGTTGTTAAGTGTTCATGGCCGAGAAGGCAGGGCGTGAGACTCTGATTTTCGAGGTCGCAGGTTCGAAGCCCATACGTAGCAAAGTTTTATTAATTTGAGGCTTATTTCTATCTTTTCTTATTTCACTTTCTAAAGCTGCCTTTTGGTCGTGTTCTCACTAGTGTTTGCGAAGTGCAGTTTTGCCTCTGTGTTTAAAAGTATGTCCAAGAAAACTAAAGGAAAACTGGTTTTGGAAGCTTCATTTAGCATTTTCTTGAAAATATATGTTTTTTAAATATAAATTATTGTTTTTTGTCATCTATTGTTTGTCATTCATTTTTGAAAATAAATGTGTCTTTTATGTCTAATTCACTTACTTTCTACGAGTTTTTATAGTTTTCTCATCGCATACCCCTTAAAAGTGATACAAGTTTTGAGAAAAAAAGAAAAAACATCCATTATCGAAGGGTAGTGAACTTAGTTATTATGTGGTCGGAACTTTCGGTGCAACGTGCACAGCTGCGGGCTATCGTTGATTCTATGGTCTGGGCTTATGTTGCCTCGCCCTCAAGCAACGAGCTCAGATCATGGTTGGCCTCCAACTTTCATGTTTTGTCCCATTTTCTTTAAAGGGCATATCATGTTTTGTCCCATTTTCTTTAAGGGGCATATCATGCGTCTGGTGGTATATAAATGAGTCGAAAATTAAACCAGATACAATATAAACCAGCCGAAAATACCTAAATGTTACAAAAGCTGTAACAATTTTTAAACAGTTAAAGTCTGCAAGCTTCACTCAAATCACAAAACTCTTATCTTATTTATATAAGCAGTGACATAACATTCGGCTAGTTCACATGCTCTTCGCTTTGCGAATGTATCTGCAACTGTCCTCACATTTTTCCACTAACCCGTTTCGCCACACTAAAGTTAGTCACATCTCACCCCTTAAATCTCATGATTAAGTCCCGACATGAGTGTACGCGAAATGTGCGAGGGGAGAAATAATGCGCTTAATTTATCAAGAGCGATATGTGCTGGGGACGAAATGTTTCAAATTCAACTGAGTCAGATTGCCTAGGTTTGAAAGATGCAATTCGCTAAATCATGATTTTAGGCACCTATCCTTTCGTGACTTCTTCCAACTGTTCAATCGGGGGAGTGTGCACTGGACTGGGCATTCCTCCTTCCAGCATAGGAGATGTGTTTGGAGTGGTGAAGGCATACACTACCAGAGTGGGAGAGGGTCCCTTTCCCACAGAGCTGCTGGACAGCACGGGAAGCCACCTCCAGAATAAGGGCAGGGAGTTTGGAGTTACCACAGGTTAGTATCGGGATCTTTTTCAGTCAGAAAGGTCATTTATCTAAAAAGGACGTAGGTAGTTGATGTTAAGGTAGTAACAAAGAAGTAACAAAAAAGTTTAGGTGAGCTTTGTTTGACGCAACTATAATTTGGTTAGTTCTTTCCAGTCACTTCGTGACGTGGTCGGAAAAAAAAACATTTTGGCACATAGAAGTTGAATTTAAGTTCTGGGGTCTTATGCGTTAAACGGCCCAAAATTAGGAAAATAGTCAGAAATTTTATTTCAAATTGAAAACACGTAATCAACATACAATTACTTCAGTTATTACATATTATACGAGCCAATCAGGATTAATCTCAGTATCAATCGAAATGGCTGACCTAGTTGCTCGAATTTGATTGGCTAATATTAGCCAATCAGGATCAGTTTTAGTTTTCATTTTGCTTCAATTTTGATTTTTGGGCCGTTTAACGCATAAGACCCTTGTTCTGTTTCATTTTAGGACGTCCGAGACGCTGTGGCTGGCTGGACTGCATGTTGCTCAAGTACTCGTGCATGATCAATGGATTCACTGCACTCGCCCTAACCAAACTTGACATCCTGGACGAGCTGGAAACAATCAAGGTAAGAGGTAATCGTCGTGGGAATGGGGATGATTGTTTACTCGCATCAAACGTGCAAAATGAGTTAAAATTTAAATTAAGTTCAAGAGGCAGAAATATCGGCTTGAACGCACATGTATGGGTCAATTGTTGTTTTTCATACAGTTTTCTCTGGCAGAAATCATAAATTGTTAGGCGCAGAGTTGGCCATGCAAGGCAATTATCCAGAAAATTTTACCAACATCTTTTCGTCTTACAGCTGGAAAACAATTGTCTAAATTGTTGAATTGTTTGCGAATAAATCTTTGTAAGCGCAACTCATTTTAAAACGTTGATATCTCATTCTCATAACTTGAAAGTATATTATTGCTCATTTAAGGTTGGTGTCGGGTACATGTACCGGGGCAAGAAACTGAACTCAGTGCCAGCTGATCTGGACATTCTGAAGGAAGTCACAGTAGAGTATGTGGAAATGCCTGGCTGGAAGTGCGATATTTCACAAGTGGGTATACGATATCAGAGTTTTGCTCAATTCAACTGATAACTTTATTACACAAGGAAAAGCTGGTGTTATTACGTGTTTACTTTTTCAACCTAACTCGCGTAAATAAAAGCTCAACAGAAAAGCTCCAGTTCAGTATCTATATATATTGCTCCTAATAGAAAATTAAGAAAACGAGCTTTGAAAATTAAAATCAATAAGTCACCGACGAGATTCGAACAGCTGACCTCAACACTTACAGTCTTATGTTTTCTCGACTTCGCAATGCCACCTTAGTATCTCACAAAGTCCAGCCACCAATGTAGCAGATAAAAAGCACATGCTGTTAAATTGTTAAACCTGATTCTGGTTCTGATGTAAGCTTTATGTATACATAGGGGCGGATTTAGGGGGGGGGGGGGGGGGTACTTTTTAAGAAATCCATTTTTGGCCGACCGACCCTAACATTTTTCAAAAGGCGCCTCAGGCGCCAACATATACTAATTTTGAGGGGGGAGCGCGCGCCGAAAAAACGCAATTTTTCGGTCAAATTTTTTCAAAAAGTGCCTGAAAACGCCTTTTTTGGCCTGTTTTTTCAAAATTTTGCCAAAATAGGGACAAAACCGTGCTTTGGGAGAGCTCGAAAAATCAATTCGGTCGACCTAAAAAAAGGTCGTCAAAATTTTCTGGAACTTTTTTTGCTATCGTATAAGCAAATAAGTTATAATTATTCATCATTTGTGCTGGCTGTCATATCAAATTTATTAGGTGAGAAGTTACAGTGAGCTGCCTGAGAATGCAAAGAAATACATTTCGACGGTGGAGTCTATTCTGGGAGACGGAGGGAGTCATATCAGATTCAGGTGGATAGGAGTGGGCAAGTCAAGAGAGGCCATCATCAACATCACTGTCTAATTTCTTGCCTACACGGACTGTTTTCATGGCTATTTTGAACACACAGGGTTCTCGAATCCTATGTATAACACTAAACTACGAGCTTAATTAACGCGACCTTACATACTCAAAAATCAAGATGATTCTTGTCATTGTGTGTATTGAAGAAGCTATACAGCGGATTTATAGCGTGTTATTCGCCATAATTAATGAAAAGAAAAACCATTGTACCATGATGTATCTTCGAGAATGTCTGCTTGATTATTATTGCTGATAAAACGATAAGTGCAAACTCGGATCAGTTAACAAGTCTGTAATTGATTTCTGTTAACCACCATGGATTAATGATCTTTTAAAACATGCTTTGGATCTTGTTAACTATCCCCCCCCCCCGCCTTTGGACCTTGTTACCTATTTCACCTATTTCATCCCTATGCATGTATTATTTTTGACAACCATTTCTGTATAAAATATGCATTTCAAAAATGCCAAAAATTAAGTGGGTTTTCATTTTCGCGCGTTCGTATTTGCCTTACTCTCTATTTATATAATACCCACGTAAAAATAATTTAAATATTTATATTTTCTGAGAATTGTTTTCAAGCTATTGAAAATGTGGCCGCCAAAGTTGAATTTCTGAAAATCGAAATAGTGGGGTGGGGGGGGGGGGGGGGGAGGGATAGTTAACAAGATCCCATGTTTTCATTGGAAACAAACAATGACCCATTTAGTAATCTGTTTAGTTAATATCCAGTTTTGTTAACTTGTTTTTGAAATCAGTTTTCAATTGGTGATCGCATTTACAACAGTGTGCATCAATTTTGGCTCAAATCTCTAGCAGTTGCAATCAAGTCAATGTAACCTCAATACAATGTATTTTGCATTCACCTTGCCTTCATTATTACTTTTACATTATCAATGCTATTCATGTTTTCTGTTTTCGGATTATTAAATTGAGAGGGATAAAATGCAATAACTTACATGTTCACTGTACCATCAGAAGTCAAAGTAAATTGAGATATACGTATCCGATATGAAACCGGAGTTAACAATTGTATGAAAATGCTGAGATATGGTTTGAAGTGATGATCAATTATGGCTCTCACTTATCGTTCTGTTTGAACTTTTAATTAGGATTTGTATTTGTATAAATAACCTAGCCAGGGAGGGCATTTATTTGAATTGAATTTGCATAACTTTGTTTTGTAAAATGTCTTCATAATTATTTTTGCATTAATTTCTTCGCTCTATGCTAATTCACTTTTCTCGCTGATTTTCTCTCTGTTGGTTGGATGTCTCTCAAGCCACTGTTATTACGCTTGCAATTAGCAAGCGTTGTCAAACTGGAATATATACTTTTTTCGGGTTAACAACTTGTCTAACAGAATCACTTGTAATTTCGGTTCATAATGAATTCAAACGTCTATGCGTTCCCAGTCAACAGCCTGAAGGTAACGAATATGCTGAGACGGCAAAGGTCTTGGTTTCGAATCTGACCCAGGACCTGTTTTTTTTCTAACGGGAAATAATCTGTTTCAAATAAAATTGTAGGCCAATTATAGGTCTGCTTATCTGTTGTCGACTTGGTTGTCAAATCTTGAAATTGTTTTTTTCTGCGCGCATTTTTCTTGAGTATTACTTTTAGGGTTTGATTTTCCCCTACAATTTGTAGTTTTAATTGTCTTGACTTCGCATTTCCTTCTTAGTTTTTATTGTTTCGCTTTAAAAGATTCCTCGACCAAAATTATTTCGGCCTATTTTTATCGGATTAATCGCCTAATTTTGGGTCGTTTCAAGGGAAACATAATTTGAACACTCGCATCCGCACTTTTCTTGTTGATTGTATGTTTACTAATCGGTTTATTGGATTTTTTTTTATGGAAACTTATCTCCAAATTCATTGGAAAAATTTTAGTTTTTCTCAAACTTTTACTGATTTTCAAAATGGGGCATCAATTGAAAGACCGCCTAGTCTCCCTGAGCCTGCAGACTTCCGTAGAGTATCTTCTTATTTCACCCCTCTGTCTATAACCTTCATAAAAGTGTGTGGGGGAGTATTTGCCCCATATTTTTGCGGGGGGGGGGGAATATTTGACCCATGTTTTTGATTTTTTTTCTCGAATTTTTTACATACAAAGTTAGTGTATGCCTTCAGTTTTTCATAATCTAAAGGTTTACATGCGAAGCTGTGTCTATTTGTATTTGTTGCCACTTTTGCTGCATAGCATTGGCAATTTATTAGCATATGTAGCTGCTTTGTTGGTGACTAGTGTTTGCCGGTTGTTAAGTGTTCGTGGCCGAGAGGGCAGAACGTGAGACTCTAATTTTCGAGGTCGTAGGCTCGAAGCCCATACGTAGCAAAGTTTTACTAGTTCGAGACTTATTTCTAATAAGTCTCGAACTAGTAAAACTTGAAATCGTTTTTTTCTGCGCGCATCTTTCTTGAGTATTACTTTTAGTGTTTGATTTTCTCCTACAGTTTGTAGTTTTAATTGTCTTGACTTCGCATTTCCTTCTTAGTTTTTATTGCTTCGCTTTAAAAGATTCCTCGACCAAAATTATTTCGGCCTATTTTTATCGGATTAATCGCCTAATTTTGGGTCGTTTCAAGGGAAACATAATTTGAACACTCGCATCCGCACTTTTCTTGTTGATTGTATGTTTACTAATCGGTTTATTGGATTTTTTTTCATGGAAAATTATCTCCAAATTCATTGGAAAAATTTTAGTTTTTCTCAAACTTTTACTGATTTTCAAAATGGGGCATCAATTGAAAGACCGCCTAGTCTCCCTGAGCCTGCAGACTTCCGTAGAGTATCTTCTTATTTCACCCCTCTGTCTATAACCTTCATAAAAGTGTGTGGGGGAGTATTTGCCCCATATTTTTGCGGGGGGGGGGGGGGGGAATATTTGACCCATGTTTTTGATTTTTTTTCTCGAATTTTTTACATACAAAGTTAGAGTGTATGCCTTCAGTTTTTCATAATCTAAAAGTTTACATGCGAAGCTGTGTCTATTTGTGTTTGTTGCCACTTTTGCTGCATAGCATTGGCAATTTATTAGCATATGTAGCTGCTTTGTTGGTGACTAGTGTTTGCCGGTTGTTAAGTGTTCGTGGCCGAGAGGGCAGGGCGTGAGACTCTAATTTTCGAGGTCGTAGGCTCGAAGCCCATACGTAGCAAAGTTTTACTAGTTCGAGACTTAATTCTATTTTTAATTTGTTTTATAAAGCTGGTTTTTGGTCGTGTTCTCACTAGTGTTTGCGAAGTGCAGTTTTGTCTCTGTGTTTACAAGTATGTCCAAGAAAACTAAAGGAAAACTGGTTTTGGAAGCTTCATTTAGCTTTTTCTTGAAAATATATGTTTTTTAAATATAAATTATTGTTTTTTGTCATCTATTGTTTGTCATTCATTTTTGAAAATAAATGTGTCTTTTATGTCTAATTCACTTACTTTCTACGAGTTTTTATAGTTTTCTCATCGCATACCCCTTAAAAGCGATACAAGTTTTGAGAAAAAAAAAGAAAAAACATCCATTATCGAAGGGTAGTGAACTTAGTTATATTGTGGTCGGAACTTTCGGTGCAACGTGCACAGCTGCGGGCTATCGTTGATTCTATGGTCTGGGCTTATGTTGCCTCGCCCTCAAGCAACGGGCTCAGATCATGGTTGGCCTCCAACTTTCATGTTTTGTCCCATTTTCTTTAAGGGGCATATCATGTTTTGTCCATTTTCTTTAAGGGGCATATCATGCGTCTGGTGGTATATAATTGAGTCGAAAATTCAACCAGATACAATATAAACCAGCCGAAAATACCTAAATGTTACAGAAGCTGTAACAATTTTTTAACAGTTAAAGTCTGCAAGCTTCACTCAAATCACAAAACTCTTATCTTATTTATATAAGCAGTGACATAACATTCGGCTAGTTCACATGCTCTTCGCTTTGCCAATGTATCTGCAACTGTCCTCACATTTTTCCACTAACCCGTTTCGCCACACTAAAGTTAGTCACATCTCACCCCTTAAATCTCATGATTAAGTCCCGACATGAGTGTACGCGTAAAAGGACGTACGTAGTTGATGTTAAGGTAGTAACAAAGAAGTAACAAAAAAGTTTAGGTGAGCTTTGTTTGACGCAACTATAATTTGGTTAGTTCTTTCCAGTCACTTCGTGACGTGGTCGGAACAAACATTTTGGCACATAGAAGTTGAATTTAAGTTCTGGGGTCTTATGCGTTAAGCGGCCCAAAATTAGGAAAATAGTCAGAAATTTTATTTCAAATTGAAAACACGTAATCAACATACAATTACTTCAGTTATTACATATTATACGAGCCAATCAGGATTAATCTCAGTATCAATCAAAATGGCTGACCTAGTTGCTTGAATTTGATTGGCTAATATTAGCCAATCAGGATCAGTTTAAGTTTTCATATTGCTTCAATTTTGATTTTTGGGCCGTTTAACGCATAAGACCCGAGTTCTGTTTCATTTCAGGACGTCCGAGACGCTGTGGCTGGCTGGACTGCATGTTGCTCAAGTACTCGTGCATGATCAATGGATTCACTGCACTCGCCCTAACCAAACTTGACATCCTGGACGAGCTGGAAACAATCAAGGTAAGAGGTAATCGTCATGGGAATGGGGATGATTGTTTACTCGCGTCAAACATGCAAAATGAGTTAAAATAAGTTCAAGAGGCAGAAATATCGGCTTGAACGCACATGTATGGGTCAATTGTTGTTTTTCATACAGTTTTCTCTGGCAGAAATCATAAATTGTTAGGTGCAGAGTTGGCCATGCAAGGCAATTATCCAGAAAATTTTACCAACATCTTTTCGTCTTACAGCTGGAAAACAATTGTCTAAATTGTTGAATTGTTTGCGAATAAATCTTTGTAAGCGCAACTCATTTTAAAACGTTGATATCTCATTCTCATAACTTGAAAGTATATTATTGCTCATTTGGTCGTGTTCTCGCTTGTGTTTTTGAAATCACATGTTTCATGCCGAATAACTATAGAAAATTCAGTCAGTATCAAACACATACCTTCAGCTTTTGGTGGCCCCTACTTGTTTTGTATCTAGACATACAAAAACGTTGGTCCACTTAATTGTTTTTTCAACATATAATTTTTCGACTTATTTATTTCTATGTTTGTGTTGAATCCCAAAGTGTGCTAAGCTCCGCTTCGCCTCTCTGTTGTTAATATGCAATCCAACAAATAACCATTACGAGGTCAAAGTGTGGTTTTTTATGAATTGTTAGCGTATTCTGCAGCAGACTAAAAAGATTTCCAAAGTTAATAATATTGAGTCACAGAAGAACATTAATTACATACATATAAAAGGACTCTCATTTCATGCTCTTCAGATGGCTTGCTCAATTTCATAATCTAAATTTAACCACTTCT